CCTGTCCACCTGTAAAGTTTCGCGAAGCGAGGACTTCACCTTCGTCATGTCCTGATCTCTGACACCGAGTAAGGACACTTTGTTTCAGGTCTAACTTTCATCTCAACCTGTGGTAATTTAAGACTTCTTCTTTTGGTTTTCTTTTATGGTATATTTAAGTTCAGTGAGCAAAATCTGTGAAATTTCTGATTTTTGCATGTCTTATATGATGGGTATATAAAAATACCACCTGAATAATTTGTCCTCCCAAAAATAGGACTGACGCCACTTAAGTAGCCTTTAAAGAACAATTCCGCGGCGATTTTATGTGGTCTGCAGTTCAGATTCAGTGTACCCAGGGAAAACAATGTCAGCATAGAGTAGTCCAAATGTTTCTTGAAGAGCTGCAACCATGTCACCTCCACAAATAATTGACGGAGTTCATCCCATTTGTTATAATAACAGTTACGCAATGAATTCGGACCAAAGTTTCAGCCTGTGCAAATTAATACGTATTTTCATGAACTGCCCACGAAGGTGGGGCTGGAGATATCAATAAAAGTGTCCTCAAAACGTAGTCATTTCTCGAAACCATGAATTGACATATAACTAAGGTAAGGCCGCCCATTTGTTGCTGTGACACAGGCGAAATAAATTACGGCACCTGAATCCTCCTGGGCAAAATCGGCGTTTTTAGCTTACCGACTTTTGTAGTGCAAATTTATACTTTCTTGAGGTATATTTTTGCGAGCCATTGTCATGTTTCTGTACGTCATAGTCGAGGTTACGAAGAACGACAGTACCTAACACTTTCTCGAAACGCTCGTCATCGAGAGCTCCAAAATTCTTTTTAGAAGCATGCAGTATCTCATGGTGTTTACCGCAGATTCAACACATTTTAATAATGGTTTCAAATCGGTGTATCCAGATACGAAGATCGTTTAGTGAAGATGTTCTCTGCAGTTGAGTTCCTTTTAGGTAATCTGCCCACGTGTTGTCTTTCAGGTGGTTAGTAAATGGGGACAGATGAAGGACAGCACACTTCTACACATTGAAATCGAGCAACTATCGCTCACACCAGGTTTCCAATCGATTTAGTTTAACTTGACAGGCTACCTGGTCGTTTGGGCCTTTTCAACCATGTCAAAGTTTCAAATCATCGGCAGACGTGATGTTTTCGTTTTCGAGTACATGAAGGCTCTCATAAATACAGAGACTATAGTGTAGGGGTCCGAGAGGTGATCCCTGGAGATGAACACCAATCATGTTCACTCAGTCTGACTTATTCTCCACAACACATGTTTGAGCCGTTTTCGGCCGACAGGGAATTATCATATCTAATCTGTAAGCAATTATTCGATGCTAAGGGTGCACAGATTATAGAATAGGTGTCAAGATAGAACGCTGTTGAAAACTATGGAAGTCGGTTCATAACACATCTATGTCGAGAGCCTGTCCTGGGGCTTTAGTCCAGACCTTTAGAAAAGTCAGGATATTTTACAGTGAGATACCTTTTCTTTGTGAGCCCTGCTGAAAATTTTACAATATATGGATATTGTCAAATCTGTAATACAGTGTGATCTATAAAGCCTTCCTCCGTCTCGCGAGAAAGTTTGCTCAAACTTATTAGCCTAAAAGTTTTTGCAACCATCCGGTCACGTCGTTTATTTAAGGGAACTACTTTGGCCGTCTTTCATTCAGAAAACAAGCTCCATGTTAGCACTGACAGCTGGAAGAGAGCCAAAAGGCCCATTGCCATCTCTGCCGATAGTGCATCAAATATCACCTCCAGGAATCACATCCGGCTCATGGGTCCTGTTTTTACAACTTCGACAGGAAAAGACAACGGTGTCAGTGAATATGGTGTCCGCTCTCACACGAATATCGGGTTTTCTTTGGGGTTCCACCGAAAACGTCGGTTGTAAGAACTGGGACGGAATTTTTATTGTCTGTGACTCATGAGATAAAAGGCTTCTGACATTATCCTTAATGTCCTCGATTTTGCCCTGTGTTTTCTCCTGCCGTAGATATGTCCGTAAAGCTTTTATGGCTTATAATGGCTTTTATTGTCTTCGCTATTCAGAGAATGTTGCCACATTCTTTTTGCGGGTACTAAGATTAATAATATGACATCCGTTTCTTTTCAGTGATAATTTTTATTGTTGCGTCAATGTATGAAATTCGACAACAGGTTCTTAGACAGGGGTGTGGTTTGTGGGCAGAGTTACCTACTACAGGGAGCATTTGTGTTGAGCAACAGAGCCGAATATCCAAGAACTTTGTGGTCTTAAATTTCCATCCTCCATATTTTACCAATTAAAAAGTGCAACTATTTTTACAATATATTGATAATAGTGAATGAATTTAATGCCCCTTTGAAGGCACTGTCAAAGAAGCAGTGCATTGTCGTATTTTTACTCCTATGACTGCCTTAGAGCACCTTGACAACCCTTGCGCAACAGCCATCGCGAGGTCTTTTTATTCTTTCTCTGGCACGTGCAAATAAATATCGCCAGTTTTTTTAGCCCAACTGCTCCCACGAGAAAGTAACTCCGGTCAAAATCCATAGCCTTGCCGAGTCTCATTATTTTCACGGGACTTTAAATGACGATCTTTAGACGTCCCAATTTACTGCCTTCCCTGAAATCTATATGTTGAATGAAGCGTTTTTCCAAACAAAACCTTTATAGCCAATTGTCCAGTGACGCTGTTGGGGCCTTTGTTACAGGAGCATTCCAAACTATTTTAGGGGTGTTAAAATCACCCGGGCGAAAAGGTTCTCTTGCCTGCGTATGACATTTGGCGGACTGTCTAGCGAGAAGGTTTGCTCAAACTTATTAGCCTAAAAGTATGTCAGTATGTTTCAACGACTTAAAAGTTCAATGCACAATACGAAGGTTTGCAGACGGTAATCGACTATTCCTACTCGAGCACTGAACAATTTCGTAACTCCATAGTGTTGTAACGGATTTATTACTGCAGTCCCATTTAAAACGATAAAAATACGCAGGTATAACTGGACCATCATTCGCGCTGACGAACATATTCATTGAAAATTTATATGCCAAACTAACAGATATACTGATCTAACGCGGAGGGAAATTCTGATATCGGTATCCTAAAGCACTATGAGAAAAATATCAGAAGCTAAAGCACAATAATAATGAATAAGGGTATACAGGCGTTCTTTTCCTCAAAACACATTCCGTGAAAAAATAACGTAGAGACAAATTAGAAAGAGGAGGGAAGGAAAAGTTAAACAAATGCAAGGTCAGTTTGCCGTTTATCTATGCTGTACTTTCAAAGAGGGGTGTAGTGGTGTCCAACTAGACGGCGCCCGCGCAGGAGTGGTAGGTCGCATCATATAAAGGTTGACTTCTCCTCAGGGTCTCCAACTGCTACCCAAAACTAGTCTGTAGACCCTAGAGGCTGGACTGTGCCAGTGGCCACAACCGGATAGTGTTTTCGGTGTTCTGCATATCCCATGCACGGTAATTATGCTTTAATTTCCATCCTTCTTCCTCCCTTCTCGTCCCTCAAACTGCTCTTTCCCTCCCAGTTCCACTCCAAGAAAAGACCTAGAGACGGGACAACCCCTTTCGCTATCTGCCAAACCAAAATGTAGCCGACAGTCGCGCTCGATAGTCGTCTCCAATGTCTAGGCAGCATTCTTAGAGGCAGTACTGCCCACATGATCACGAGAAAGAGGCTAAAAAATGTGTCCCAACCAAATGCTGACATCGCGTTATCTGCATACAGCCCGTGCCTCGCAGGTAAATCAATCACTGTCAAACCATAAAACGAACAACTCACGTTTCCAATACCTTGTCAAATCTCCCAGGTTGCTCGTATGATTCTGGCCACTCTGGCGGCCGCGAATGTTCGCTCTCCCTCAAAAGATCCGATGAAAAACCGCCGAAACGGAAGACGACGCTACTTTTTCGACAACTGAGGCAACAAAAGGCGGAAATCGCTGCCCTCAGTGGGACCTGCCATTCCGAAGAAGGTCAGCTGGAATAAAAAGGCTCCGGGTGCGCGTTCCTCTGGGGCGGCCACCCAATGGCAGAATGTTTCGACGCTGTCTACGTCTTTGCCATCTGAAAAAACCACCGTGTGACTACTGCCCTACTGCCGCAGGACATAAGCGACCGCCTTATTACCCAGTATTCGCTTCTTTTGGAGCCAAATTTGCCATAACCATAGGTGCTTTCTTTCCCCCGTTATGTTCTAGCCGTAGCGCTAACCTGTGTTCCCTAGTTCACAACTCTTCGCAGTCGGATCCCCAAAAGAGAACTCCACAGTAAAGGTTGAAAAAAGCGGGTCTACTTTTGGGTCCCTCATAATAAAATCTGATGATAAGGTATAGAAATAGAATGTCCAAAGGAAGCCTGTGATTGAGTTTATCAGATCACGTCCTCGACCTCTTAGCATGCCGACTAATCTTCTGTATCACCTGAGTTGTTGTGCGTCCCTTTAATCCTGCCAGTGTTTGGTGTCATCTCAGCATGATCAGGCCGTGCGCACAGATCGATAGAACAGCATGTGCGTGCTCGTTAGACCGGCATGCGAATTAGTCGGTTAGAACGGACTCTTCTAACACCCTCTCCCCAAATGACCAGTTCTGATGAGACGAAAACAACTTCTACGAGGGTCCGCACGTTCAGCTGGTGACTGTGTCGAATGCAAATAAGCTGCTTGTCCTGGGTGACTTCAGTGCCCGTGTCGAGACAGACCACTATGTCTGTGATTGAGCACTGTGTCCTCATGGGATTGAGGAATATTACGAGAACGGTGCGAATCAACGCGGGGCATGATTTCCCCCTTCTTAACACAGTTTTCAGCCACCCGAATGGGAGAATATTGTGGATGTCTCCCCGATTGCGACGATGACAGTTGTCCTACTACGTTCTTTTTCGAAGAGGATATCGGCGGGACTTGCTGGTGACCTATACCAACTGCAATGTCGGTAGCCGGATATATCACCGCCTCATCGTTTCTAAGTTGGGGCTTCGATTCCAACTATGCAGGAGACCACAGGTTAGGCTGTCATCAGGTAAGCTAAATCCTGTTCTGTTGACTGCATTTGCTCACAGTTTTGAGTTCAGTAATGAACCGAACCAGATACTGGACGACGCGGCGATGACAACCATGCAGGAGACCAAAAACAAGGCGATAACCAGCTAGACCAGATATTTTTCTGTTGGCAGTGTTTGTTCGTCATGTAGAGTTCAACAGTTAACTGACCCAATAACTGGGATAATTGAACACTCCATATGAAAACGCTATCACAAAGACACGGTTGTGTCAGCCGTCGAATGCTGTCCCTCCACTCCCCTGGATGCCCTTAGATGCACACGTCGTCAGCTCTTCTGACAACGACAACGACGCAGACATCAGCAATTCGCCCGCCGAAAAGACCAAGATACACAAAGCCTCCAATGATCGACGGACCGAGGCAAACAAAACAGCCTTCTTTAGACATCGTCGTTTGCTGCAATGGCGACTGCAGGGAATGCAAAAGGTCTGGATGCCTCGAAAGGCCCAGAAAATCAAGTGTTGTGCGGACCAAAATAAACGCAAGAGCTTCTTTTTATCAATCGAGGCAGTTAACCTTTCCACAGCCAGAGGAAACGTTCGCTTTTCAGCTCCGACGGGGCAAATCTTCTCGTAAGTTAATAGCAGCTTCCGAAGTACTGGTCCGAGCACTTCAGAAGTGTTCTCAACTCCCATTTACGTTTTCCGACATCACCATCAGCCGGCTTCCCAAGCGGAAATGAAAAACGATACAGACCCCCGGCCTTCCCTCTCAGAAACCACCCGAGTCGTGCACGAAATCTCTAACAGTAAAGCGCAGAGATCTGACACACCTACTGCGGGGGTTGTAAGCACGGCGGCCGTGAAGGATGAACAAGCTTACAGTGCTTTTTCGTCATCTTTGAGTCCAAAGACAATTTCCAGGAGATTTTAAGGATGCAATATTCTTCCAACTCTATGAACAAAAAGGGAGCCGGCAGCTCTGTCTTAAACACAGAGGTATCTCGATGTTAAACACCGCAGGAACTTAACCGCGGGTAGACATCAACCGCCGCAGAATGTTGTCAATAATGTTCCTGGAATCTTCGTCAACGGCGCCTCGCTGAAAATCGTCTGCCTGCTCTGTCAGCCACCTAACACAGTTTCATCATCGGTTTGATGATCGTATCGGACAACTGTCTGGTGCATGGGATAGGACATGTCGATGGATCTTGACTCTCAGTGCATAATTCTTCCCTATAACAGTCTGGTGCGCTTGAATCTATCAGGGTGAGCTAAAAGCCGTCGCTTGAATAAACTCAGTTCTCCCCGGATGACTAAGGGCCTGGTTGCATTTGCTGCTTCTTAATAATGCCTTGGTAACGCTCCTACTTGGGACCCGAATTATCTCTCTTTTTTCTGCTGTGTGAAGTTTTGCTCAATTTTTCTTGGTAGACCAAGGAGTGATATGGCCCGCCTGAGTGCGCGTTTTCACTGTGCCAATCGCTTGCGCCATCTCCCTCTTCTGATTGTTATCACTACTTCATTTAACTTATTTCGAGTGGGAAGGACAAGAGAACGCGGAAGATTCTGCACACGTTTGATATTACTATAACGGAACTCACGCACAAGTCACCGTCCTTACTCCCACCTTGATGCGAAGTCTATCGTGGAAACCGTCGGAAACGAAGGCCGAACTGTATTTTTCTGAGAAAACCTCCAAATCATCTATGTTTGAATGCACTTACTATGTCTACCTTAAGCATGCATTTGAAAAGTCGGTTAGATCGCTGAAAACTAACAGTGAGGATGGGCTTCTACGCATATGTTGGTGTGAAGATGTTACTCAGAAAGTTCTTGTGTGTCAATTCGTCGTAGCCAGCAGGTAACATTCGCGTAAACGCGGAACGCATAACCAACTCTTGCAATCCGTTTTGTCTTCATTAAATTCCCTCTAGTTTCTTTGTCTTCTACTGGAGACGGGTTTAGCTTAGTAAGTCGGCATTCGCACGGCAAGGATTCGAAGTCTTTCACATTTACTTTCACAGTCTTATTTAGCTGTTTTATTAGTTTGCAATACTTCTCAGTCAAAGGCTCAACGCCTGAAGTTAATATCCCAGGTCTGATCTGGTAAATGTCTCATAGACTTTTCGAAGCAGTCCACTCCGCCTCTTTTACGGTTTGCAGATATGGCTAAGTCCACGCCACAGGTTACGTTTATTGTTACTGCATTTTATCAGTGACGAATTTAAATGTCAATCACAAACTGATTCCCCTGTAGCTCAGTCCTGTCATATATTCATCGGCGTACAGCAGGAACAATGAGGGACCGGGAACCTATTCCTGAGAAGATCCACGAACAATTGCACCGACAAAGATTTTGTAATACACACTGACAGAGATCGGTCTCGCAAAAATGCATCCCTCTCGGCAAGCAGATTCCCAGACCTTACGCAGTAAAAGTCTTTGAGAGAGAGGTCCGGGTACCTAAAAGAAGACTCCACGATCACAGGAGCGATAACTTTATTCTGCTAACGTTGATTCCTAGTCGGATTAAACATCATAGGCAAGCATAAAGAATTTATAAATAATGCAGTTACCATGTAGTCACAAGCAAGTCAAAATTGCAGCCTTTGCATCCATAACCGATCGTCGTCCTCAGTGTGATGAATGCTTGCTCCCCAGCATTCGAGTTGTTAACTGCCACCATCTCACCGCCGTTCTTGTCACGCGTGAAACAAACTCGAAAATTTTGCCGGCTGATATTACAACTGAAGATGAACCACAGAACCAAATCAAAGCTTTTAGGCCGGAAGTACTGAAATCCTCACAAGAGACGACAACACGCAGTCGCGGCTTGCTTCAGTCGTGATTGACATTCCCGCAATCAATTAGCAAACGCCATGATCACAACCTCCGGATTCCTTGCCGATACACGCTACAAAGAAGGACTGATGAAGCAGCACAAAAGGGGAACATTAGAGCGCGCTTGGGAAATTAAAAAGCATTTTAGAACGGAGAAAAAGCAAGCCGCAACTATACTGAACAATGAACATCTATATTGAACAATGGACAAACTAGCAAGCACCAGAGTACAGTTCAGGGACGCAAGTATCTTTCACGTAAGAGTAGAATCTAGAACCGATTTCCCAATTTTTTATTAATTAAAATAAGCATTTACATATTTATAGTCTAAAATACCTGAAAATAGTTTCATCCTTTTATACCACAGGTTTGATTTGTTTGTTCTTACTATTACTGTTGCCGAATTCACAAACAGTGTAGAGCTGTAGTCTTATGCGCAAGTTCTTGTTTTTCTTACCTGGCTTCAGAGGCAAGTGACAGTTTGTTAGAACAGGAGAATAATCGGAGAGCTGAAGACTTGAGTGTCAAAGTCAAGATTTTGAAATCGGTGAGCATTTACTAGTTCATTTTGGAAATTCTGTCCTGCACTAATAACAATTGTTATTGTTCGAGTAATCGAACTCGTATTTCGTTGCCGTCATTTTGGCCATATTGTTAAATTTTTCTTCCCTCTCCAAACCTAGGCAGTATTTATATAAACCCTCCTGATTTTTCTTTTCGGCCATTGCTTCGATTTGCTTTTGCATCGTACTGTCTTTGCCCTCAGGTTCCTGTTGACTCCTGAGTCAGTACGCGACACGCCTGTCACCCTGACGTCAGGGAATGATATTGCCGTTGATTATTTGAAAGTAAACCGTTTGTTAACCGGCCAAAGTGACGGTGTGGTCAGTGCTTAAAGGTACACCATACCAATGGGCGTCGTTTTGCAACGGAATTGTTGCCTTCCGAGGGGTAATTCCCGTATTGTCATGAGGAAGTCTACCGTTTGTTGTCGATTTTTGCTTCACTTGTTGAAAAAATGTGAACAGACCACGTAACGATGAGTACTCAACTTGGTTACGTGTCGCTGAGTCGACGTCTTCCATAATCTCACTTTAGCCAAACTTATTTATTAAATCCTCTGCGGCCATCGTTTGGGCCATTTCACTCGCAAGCTTAGCGCCACCAGCAACGTAAAAAGTGGGAGTTAGATGATCTTCTCAACAGTAGGCATACGTATGGTCTCTTGGAAAGTCTTCAAATGCATTGAACTCCCCCATTGCTTCCTATAGCGTAGACAAGTGCGGAGCCGTGCTGCTCGACCAAAAGCTAGAATTAGAAAATATCATGCGATCAAGGGTGTTCTGGATGTCCTTCTCCACTGCGCATTAATAATAAGAAGGATTTCTGTCTGTGAGAAACATATAACGTAAGATCCGCGTGTATTGAGATACCAGTCTCATGTTCATAGATGTGGTTATTATAGTGAGCCGGTCGTTGCACAGGCGTAATTCTGTGGTGGTGATAACCTACATAAACAGAAACCGGTCGACTTTCATCTCCGTCATGAGGCGAGAGTTGCAGGGGAAATTACTTTGCGCCGGCTCATCATGGTCAGATCACCACATAACCAGTCATTGTGCCGTTACTCAAGGTGGTTGTTTTGTCAGATCCAAATCCTCTATGTCCCAGTGAATCACAACCCCTCGTAAGTGCACTGCGCAGCTGGCAGACGAGCTCTCAGGTAATTGTCGCTTTCTCAAAGTTCCGCGTTTCTGGGTCACAGAATAAAACGATTACTTGGGTTCCAGACTCGAGACGGTCCATTTTGTTTCGTAGTGACTGAACACAGTAGCAAGTAACGACTTTCCTTTCGAAGTGCTTAAAAGATTGAAATTTTTGTATGTTCTGGCTCCCGTCTAATGGCTTTTTTGCCGTAGAGTACGTTTTGAACTTCTTTCCTTTATTCTTTAAGCAGTCATCCTTCTCTTAAATGTTTTCCTGGTATCTAATTTGAGAATAAGACAGCCCACTTTCTCATTGCTATCTGCTGGCTCTGTCATAGTTCCCCTTTTTTGTAGTATGCACATGACATAAGGCACGAGGCCGATCAGCAGAATGAAGTCCTGGATAAGTTGCAGTCAACCATGGACTCTGCGGGTCATGTTCTCGGGAACACCGTAGGCCGTGTTTTCGGCATCCCTGCCAATCGGTCCAATAATCGGAAACTTTGCTGTTACACACCACTTGTCTTTGTCGGGCTGTTCCTTCTGTACCGTTTTGTTCGCCTCTTTGTTTGAAGATACTTTATGATTTCATGGAGGCCCACTCTATCCCCTCCCATCTGCCCTTATTTTTTACTTCTCATTGATTTTCTTACTTCATCTAAAAGTGCCGCGGGTAGGTAAATCTTTTGAAGTATTAATATCCTCATGTCATCAATATCCTTTTTATGATACATGCTTCTTCGCCTATGAGTTTCCCTGTTAACTTAGGCATATGCAACGAGAATGATGTAGATAGTGGCACATGCTAAGTGTCTTTTTCTTACATTGGCTAAAGCCGCCCTCGAGATGCCAGCGTCCATAAATTAGTCTTCGCACATCATTCCACGCTTCGGAGGGGATGGATGCCAGTAGGAGTTAAGCTAGAGCCATCCACTCTCTTCTCTGTCATATTTACCACCAGTGGGTTGTTCGGCTGATCTCGGACTGTGGGGCACGCGAAACTTGACAGCTGTCTTCGGTTACGGCCGTTTAAAGACGTTTGTACGTTCAAGCCAGTGTGACAATCCTGGAAGAAAGAGTTGTTTGACCAGCGGGGAAGTGTATTTTAAGAAAGAGACCTGTGTACCTGTTATCGTTTGCTTAGGTTTGTTTTGACCGGACGGCAGATCTACCTCGCCGATGAATAATCTGGTTTAAATGTATTGAGACCACCTCTGAGCGGTGTCGAAAAGGTCTACTAAGAACTGTCCCCGCCTTGCTTTTAACACAGGTACTAACTAAAAAATCTGAAACACCGCCCATGTATCGTGTTGCATACCAAAATTACGAGGACAAAGCTCATCCGTTTGAGCAAATCCCCCTTCTTGTGTGCTTTCTGCTCTAAGTCTGTTTAACAAGTTGTGATTCGCAGTTTTGCTGGCCGGAGTGGAATTGTCGTATCAGGACTTTTCAGGGCCGACCATATTTGTATCAGCAAGTTTCAGCGAAACACGCAGTTTACACGTGCAAGTTACCAGTAATTAATACGGGGCATATTTAAAGAAGCAGATTTCTTTCAAAATCAGGGACTCTCTTGTGGATTTTTGAAATGTTGGTGACGAACTATCGCCGCACGGAATGGCTAAGAAGTTGCGTTCGCCCCCTGGAAGGTGATATGGGAGGATGACAGATCGTAGAACCTGAAACGGGTACTGCAGGGCGTGGATTGGGAGGACTCCAGTTGTTCGCTGACCGTGAGTACGGGGAGGGGATGAGGCTCATTATTAATTTTATCTTGGGGAAGGGTAGGCAGTGGCAGCGGGCTCCTGCGAAGGGCAGATAACATAATATGATCGCGTCTCGCTCTTCTCGAAGTGGAAGTGGGCTGTAAGATGCGCTTATGAGCATTAGCCTTCTTCATCTAAGTCAACGCGACAATACTGCAGCCGCTGGATTTACAGGCTTCCGGACTCTTTCTGAAGACCCTGTTGATAATTTTGGTGGCATCCCAATTGAAGCGATAGCCGCCCAGAAATGAATGCACAAATGTGGGATGTAGGTGGTCTTGTTGGCGGACAGCCCCTATATATTCAGTGACTGGACTTTTTTTCGACCTGTTTGGCTGAAACACCAAGAACAACTAGAACATGGGGTCCCTTGGTCAACAATGCCATAACTAGCTTTTGATGTGAAATCACTGGCCTGGGACCATGCAAGAATGGCACAGACTCGTGTGCAATGATGGCCCCAACACCCTTGGCTGTTGTGAGGTGCCTTCAGAGGTCCCTCTTATGTATGACAGCATGGAGACCTTCCAGGTCACGTCTGCACCGCTCATCCTGTCTGCTTGTCCATGCCTCCCAAAGCTTGGTCAGTCTTCAGCGAAGTACTTATACTACTCTTTTAGGGTCTCTGCCTCAATTGCGCCGCGCGTGACCCATTTCATGCCTCTCGTGGCTCTCTAGTTTACCAGCCTTAATTGATATCCCTGACGGGTTGGAACATAAGAAATACAGAAACTGAAGTCCTGCCTGTCGCTTGGGCTTGTTTTTGCCATTGCATTAGGAGTGTTTGGGTCGATCGTTAACAGCTGTAGCGAAGTAAAGCCTTCGCCTCCTGACCAGTTAGTTCGCAATTTAAACTGTTTGTTTAGTTGATCTACTCATAGCGCTGAAAATGGAGGTAAAGACCGGTCCGCAATCGAGGGCGAACGGTGTTGTTCCCGGCAGTAGATTTTTTTGTTTAGTATTTTAGCCGTCATGGGCGTTGACAAGGCTCGCTTGTTCGTACTAGGTGCAGTATGACCGCCAATAATTCGTTGGTGGGCCATCCGCATGGAAAATGTTAATGAGCATTAGCATTGAAGTGCGAAACAGGAAGAACGGGAATTTTTCAATTTTTTCGGAATCTAGGTGCTTCTTGGGTGTAGTGAATTGCTGTGACCTGCATCAATTTGTACTCTCCGCTTGACTAAACAATAAAAATGTCCTTTGAGTGTCTTGTTCAGAATCACTGTGCATAAGCCAAGACTATTTTTCTGAGTGTATAGCAACTGTGTATTATTCGGGTACGTTAAACTCCCAGTGGAATATCCATTAATATTAGATTACAGTGATTTGGGTACCTCTCATCCTCTCTAGCAATGGAATTTTCCAGCCGATTAATTGACTTCTTTTCTAGGCGGAGGTTGTAACTTAATTTTAATGAAATGACTGTCCCAAGCATTAAACTTCGTGCCGCGAATAATATTCAGAAAGCACAACTGCCCTATGGGCGGCCCACTTGCGTGCTGCTCAGTTCAAGGGGACGGCCGGACCTTGATGCATTTGGTGGTTGCCCCAACCTGTCTCTCACTACGAGCTACTTTTATATATGCCCAGGACCAAAACAAGGTTACATTAACACGCCGCGCAGAGTTCTCGAGAGTCTATAACTGCTGTCATACATAAGGAGACGTAGCAATATTTGTAGACGTATGTCCTCATGCCGCGTTAGCTACTGCGCCCAATCCCAGAACCAGGTGGTTGACATGCACGGAGAGTCCACTGGTGTATGGAAGAGAGGGAAGGGATTGAGATCGACAATAGGAAACCTATCCGTCCGGCAGATCAACTTAATCATCACTATAGTAGATAGGGCGTTCTCGGACCTATCACGAGGTCTAGAAACTGTTCTTTGGAAGGTTGCCAACTGACGAAATAACTCGGTCCCTCGCATGATTGAGAGCCAGGCTACAATGGCTCCTTCATGTAGCCCCAAGGACACTAATTCATGCGAGATCCTGGCCGTCCTCATGAATGCCTGGTATATGTTCTAGAAAGGGGTCGTACGTGGCTCGCGTAGATGCGTTACATAGATTCGTTGGCCACTGCGCTCGAGTCTACCCCTTGTAGTCTGAAACTTGCTTTGCGCTCGAGGTCAGGTGGGTGGGAAGAGGAAAACGCGCGTGGATGCTGTCTAAGTCTGCTTCGTCATAAACTAGTTCACGCATAACTCGCCGCACGGTAGACGTTCGCGACGGTCGAACTGTTTGCTGCCAGGATGCATATACAAGCACGCAAGCCAGTACGCAGCAGACAAGTGCCGTACATATTAACGCCCTTTCGCAACTCGAATTCACTGTACTGCCAATGCAACCAAACCACTCTCGCTCACCAAAACAACGCAGTCACTGTAGAAATCGTTTTAACTGTGCACGCCCTAACTCCAAATTAAAATGTCTCATTTCCCTTGTATGGAATCTTTTCAGCCATTAGAAGGCTGGCGCTATAGGAAATACATAATATGTAACAACGAACGGGATAATGGGGTGAAATCAAACCTGGCTAGTCGAGCGGGCCTTCTCTACCTTCGATGAGTACTGCTTCCTTAAAATTTTTGGGGGCAAACAGGCGGCCACAGGCTTACCTCACGGCTACCTTTCGTACTGATGTTTGTTCAGTAGGGTTGAGGGGGAGGGGGGTTCCCATCTACTGCTACCTAACATTTATGTCCGCTACACAATGTCCCTTTTATACCCTTATACACACAAACTTCTCCTTTCCTTAACCACCTCTGGGTAGTTCGCATGTGCGGAAATTGCGCTGTTAACTGCGGGGTTGTCGGTTTCGTGGTTTAATCCGGTTTCCTGTCATCATCATTCGGTTACATTATATTAAACGCGCACTCTATTGCACAAGTCCCACTTTCCACCTCCGCCGTCGCCTCCTGCACTTACTTCCCCAAGCAGGCTTGGTCGAGCCTGAAACGCCGACCAGTTTCAGGTTACGGTCAACTTGCCTCCATCCCACGCATTCCACTGTCCACATAACTGAGGCGCCAGCTTCCCCTTTTGTCGGTCAGACTATCACTTGCGGTAGCAGTTTACTAACGTTTCAGGCCCGGCATCCACTTCCGGGCGTATATATAAACCCCAAACACCCCCTCACCATCTTCTGCACCAACCCCCCCCCCCCCAAAAAAACCCCAAAGGCTTATAACCTACGCCATCCAAACATAAGCCTTCCACTTGGGGCAGCAGCTACCAAAGGCTTCAGGCTCTTAAACCACTGCGGTATTTACATAAACCCCTTACGCTCCGTCACCATCTAACCCACCCCTTCCCTCCTTCCCCAAATGCTTATCACCTACGCCGTCCTAACATCAATCCCGGCAGTCCTTCTCCCTCCCTTTATACAAACTGTCAGCATTCGACAACTCCCTCACCGGCTGTTCCCACTTCCGCCTGCTTCACCGTCTACAGTCCCCCCCCCGCAACGTTTGTTAGTTGACCTGATATGCCCTTCACGGCGGGTGGTTCATGTCGCCAGTCATCAGCTACCCCCCTATTCCTCCTTACCGTCTGCCATGGTTGGCAGCTGCCTAAGACCCTCCCCGCGCGCCATCCTGTTCCCGCTATAAAGGCCTTCTGTAGTCACTCCCTTTCTGCCCTGTAAGGGTTTACCAACGAGGCTTAGTGGATGTCATTGCCTTATTCTACATCGGTAAACATGTTCCCCTACCAAGCCTCCCGGGTAGTCGATCATTCGCCCTCCGCACTGTGCGTTGATGGCTCCGTCACCATTGTTAGCGATACCTGCCCAGCCCACAGACAACGTGCGTTCGATTCTGCCATTAGCCCCCCCCCCACAGGCCCCCATCAGCTAACGCAGCCTTACGGTTGAACTTTTCTTAACTGAGTATCAAACCTTCCCTTATTCCGGATGCTTACCAGCACCGTAAACCAGAACACTGCAATAGCAAAATGCAACATTTACTCAAAAATAGGAAAAGGGAACAACACACTAGACATACAGCGTAGTACAGAAAATCGTCCCTGGCTGCCTTGGACAGTGGCTTGCCACATCACCAGCAGTCAACAGTTAGGTGTGCTAGAAAAGAGTATGCGATTACACGCTTGCTGTATACTGCAGTACCTCATATCGCCTTCAGCATCCTTTTTTGGTAGCGAGTATCCCCATTGCCAGCAGGTAACGGCCACATTCATTGTAGGTAGGCATGGAGAGTAAATGGAGGAAGCACAGAGACTTACCTTCACGTCTTCCGTCTGCGCCTTCGTTGGTTAGCTTATCCAATCGCCGTTGGTTGGCTTTCCTTGATTGGATATGCTTCTGCCCAATTTCGCAGGAACGTTTCCCAGGAAGCTGCCATGTTGTCGGCCCTTAGGTCGAACCAAAGGCGGTACTGAACCTCATCTAGGTGGGCCCACACTGCACTGTCACAGACAGGACCAAACTCCTGCAGCTTCCTCTTCAATCTGCTCCAGTAGGCCGCTACGGCGTTCGTATGCCGACCCGTTGTGGGATTAACGAAGACCCTACTGTGGTTGACAGTGTAGTGTGTGTAACCTTCGGACGGTAGGCGGGCATAACCCTTCCACTTATCCGTTACGATAACACTACCAGCAACCACCCACTTCACTATGACGGGCCTTAGGGCCTGCCAGCTGCGGTTGTTAACCTGCTCGAACAGGGCTTTCCGCCTGCCTGCCTGCCTGTATCGTACATACCGATGACCCACAACTGGCGCCGTGGTCGTCCCTTGTGGTACTTGCGGCGACTTATAAGCGTTTCGTCTATCTGCACTTCCGCGCCTGGTCCCCCAGTTTGGGTTACGGCGGATAGAAGTGCGTGTGAGCAGGCCCCGCGGCAAATGCTGTACCATTCCATGGCAGTATTTCTACTGACACCTACACTTGCAGCACACCGCTTGGCCCGCACATCTTCGAAGAACTTATAGCATATACGTAGCAGTGTCTGCAGACTGAGCTTGCTACCAGCGAACATTGACCCCGTCTGCAGACACCGCTTCCGTCTGCAGTGTCCACAGCGGAAGGCATAACCGTCCGTATGCTGCCGCAGCACTTGCATCTGCACAGTACGCCGATATCGGCATGCTAATGTGGTGGCCAGCAACCTCCACCGCTGCAGGTACTGAACGACACCTGCTGACTGAATGACAGCTTGTATTTCATCCTCGGCGGTCTGTATAATCGCTGAGGACCGCGCCTACGTCCGCCTGCAGTCGGTGACGATCTAGGTATAAAAAAGTGTGAGTTTATAATACTGCTGGTGTCAACTTATACATATCCCCCACCCCTCTTTTCATCTATGTGTGCCCAGAGCAATTCATGGTATACCTAACAATGAGGTTCAGTTGAATTAGCGGTAGCTTATAGATAGCAGACCATCATGCGTTCTGTGCTAGCTATTCGGACATAACATGACTTTCCCTGCATTTTCTCATGCTGCTTGTATCCACCAGGCAATGTTTTGTCAGCCTCGAATTCCAGCGTTGAAACAACTATGTCATGGTCTGAGCCCCCGAGTGGGCCTAGGGATGACACTGACGATGGCATGCAGCCTCTACAGAAAATTAGGTCAAGTATGCTTGATCCTCGGGTGGGAAAATCGACAGCCTGAGTCCACATCCCAACATCCTCAGCCTCGAGAAAGTCTTCGAACCTTCTGGGGCCTATAGGCGGAGACCAGCGGACTTCGGGGAGCTTAAAGTCGCCCTCAACCAATTGATACTTAAAGCTTGAGTCGGCCGCAACATGAAATGCCTGTGAGAGTAAACGATCAAAATTTTCGTTGGCGTTGGGAGGGCGATAGACGCAGCCAACGAATAAGGCAAACTTATTTTTTAGTGCAAATTGGATCCAGCAGCTACTTTCTACTGCGTAAATTGAGGGGTCAAGCGGCCAAAATGTAAGTGTTTGTTTAACGTAGACGCAACTGCCCCCACCGCGGCTGTCTTGGCGATCATTTCGAATGCAATTTTAGCTACGTAGGCTGACGCCCAGTTACAGTGTCAGTTACTAAAACAATATCTAGACAATGGACGAACACCAGAGTCTGAAGCAAAGGCATCTTATTAAGCAAGATCAGGCATTTAAATCAAAAAGTTTCAGGGGAAAGGCTGTTTGCTTCTGAGGGAGGTGGGCTACGTCGTCCAATGCTGGGCTGCCCACGGAGCAAACGGTCCGGATTTACCCATCCGGGTCTGCAAAAAATTTTGTGGCATCAAAAGATTCTGACGAGGAGAAAAAGGGGTAAGACTTGGGTGAGGAAATGACGGGCAGGTAAGATGGTAACCGTTGATAGCTAACTTATTTTCAGCTGGAAATCCGCAGGCCAGATACTGCAGAACATTTCTGCCGGAATGAAACTGACGATCGGGTGAGCTAACTGATCCAGTATGGACATTAGTGTGAGGAATACATTGGTAAAACGGCTGTGGAGGAAACAAGTTAGGGGGTGGGCGAGGCATTGTTTCCCTTAGAGCAAGAATTCTATTAAACGGCGGGAAATCGGCATATTCGGCCTAACAGCGTCGATATGAGGGCTGGGAGGCAGTTGGAAACACACGACGTTTTGAGTTGGGTTGTTTGAAGCACTATTAGCCGATTGTGGAGGAAAAGATTTTATAATGATGCTGGATTTATCGGGTGTCCGAATGCCTGAGACAGCAAGTGGATTTGCCTTTGACTTAGACGCATGCTTAGGCTTACTAGGGGTTGCTGGGGGAGTCGATAGAGGCGTGTTTATATCAGGTCTGTTGTTGCTTCTAAAGATCTCAACATCAATAGTAGTCGAATTCCCTACGGAATTGACTATGCCGTGACGTGCAGAGGCCGCAAATGGTGTTATAGAGGACTTATTCAAACTGACAGTAGGTGTCATTATCTTGGTGTTGGTTTTTGCCGATTTTAATTTATTCAGTATTCGCTGCGGTGGAGTGAGGTCTGGCGAAACGGAGCTGCGCCATTTCCCTAGAATGCCCTAGTTATCTCCCTCCTCGACAAGATAAAATCGACTTCTATCATGGAGAAAAGGGTAACCAGTATCGGCGCATTACGGCTATGCGAGCGCAGTCGTTTAGCTTCTGCGACACTGTAGGAACAAATGCACTCCCTCCATAGCAGATAAGTGGCTCGGAATGGTCCGCAGTACGAAATTATGCTTGCGTATAATTCTTTCCTCAGTTTCCGAACTTATTACCCCAATAAGTTCAGAAGCTTATTCAATTGCTTTTTCAGAAGTACTGTTTATGCCGCCATATATCAACTGATCAAGTATTTCGTCAGCTGATGGCCTGCTACGACTAGCAGAGACGTATTTTTGGACGATTGAAGGGTCAAGAGCTTGTACATGTACTAAAGGAATTTGGGAGTTAATCACATCTGCAGAAGGCGAAGAACATGTCCTGACACCTGGTATGTCCTCGGTCACAATTCTAGCACCCAGAGACGGCGGGGAGACCGCAGGCTTTCGTCTTTTAGCACGTGCTCTGCGGGACATTACAGACAAGATAAGTTTTTCGTTGCAGTACATGGATCAAAACGTTGATAGCATACAGAAAAGCGCACTGAATAGCAAGTACTAGTGTCATTTAACTACGAAAACTAGAAAGACATGGTATGGAACGGAGTCACTACGAAGGTTTTTTACAAAATACGATTATTTAACCAGACTCTCCAACAAAACTGTGAAAAATTATATCTTGTAGTGAAAGGCGATTTTAAAAACGAATAAAGTAAACAAACAGGCGTTAACTGCACTAAAAACGTTCGATTTCTATTCAGTGGACAGATATACAGACAAATTGATGGAGTGGCAATGGGAAGTCCACTCGGTCCAACCCTTGCCGACATTTTTATGGGTCACCTAGAACAAAAGTTCTCAGAAAAACTGAATAGGAAAACTCTGTACAAAAGGTATGTAGACGACATTTTTGCTATTGTTGATAACGACGATGAAGCCGAAGACCTACTTGTTGCCATGAACAGTCTCCATCCTAAGATTAGATTCACAATGGAGAAGGAGCAGTGCAACAAGCTCTCTTTCCTGGATGTCCTCATGACTAGACAGGAAGATGGTTCAGTACGGCGATCTGTTTTCCACAAAGACACATGGAAAGGCCAATACCTACACTTCTTCAGCTTTGTGCCGATACAACGAAAGCGAAATTTGGTTTACACTCTATTCCAAAGAGCAAGAAAGATTTGCTCTATTGAAACGCTGGATGATGAAATTTCTTGCCTAAAAACAGCCCTGCTTAAACGGGGATATCCAACACGATTCATTGAAAAGTACAGCAACACTTTGCGGCCAAAACTGACGGAGCAATCTGTTCCGAAAAAGCCCGTTATAATATCCTTACCCTTTAGGGGCGACAACATCTCTAATACCATCAAGCGGCGATTGAGATGCGCTATTGAAAGAACTTACAACTCAGCTGAACTCATCTTCTACAGTTCTACTAAGGCTATCGAAGTTCCACGGGCGAAGGATGCCTTGCCACTGCACGCCACGTCAAATTTTGTTTACGAATTTACATGTACTTGTGGGTGCAAGTACATTGGGCGAACGCAAAGGCAACTGGCAGCCAGAGCAGTTGAGCACCTGCCTAAATGGCTTCTAAAGCAGGAGAACAAGACTCCACGGTCTTCCATTACAAAACATCTCCTTGATAGTGGCCATTCGGTTGACCCTAAGACGTCTTTTCGAGTATTAGTTCGAGCACGAACTACTCGGTTATTGCGCTACGTGGAGGCAGCCTGTATACGGCGGGAGAAACCCGACCTATGTAAACAGTTAGACCACGTGGTCGACCTCAGCTTGCCCTGGTAAACCCGAGCCCCTTTTGAATTTCGAATTCTGCTGTCATTGCTTGCTTTAAATTCATTCCGGGGAAATATTCCTTCAATATCCAAGTTAATGCAAAGCTCCGCTTATCTTTGAAACTGAGTTGGTTGACACCTCAAAAGTTCAAAAATCGCAACAAAGGTAGGGTTCATTAGACTAGACATGTTGTACTGAGGCTATGAGGTGTACAGACAACCCAGCAAGCAAATGTAGTTAGAGTTCTTGTAGCGGCCCTACTCCGAGCGCCTGTCGCTATGCTGGGCCTTACTCGAGTGTCTGCACGTGTGCCCCAAGGTTGTTCAGCTTTCGCCCATTCGGCTTTTCAGCTAGCCCGTCAGATTCAAGGCCGAGTCAGACGTGTCCTGGCTTGAGACGTTTTGACGCATTTCCTGGCACACACGGAGAACGCTGCCCTCCTGGACCCGGCGTAACATCCCTCTGGCTGCCAACTTTCCCAGCCCCTTTTCCAGTAGTTCTGTACAGGATATACAATCTTTCCGACTGGTTCTATCCTCTCTGAGCATTCGGGACCGAGCCTGAAGTTTGAATTAGTTAGGCTGTCAGTCTCGACCTATGCTTCTACGATATTCTCACTAGTCAAGTGTGTGGTTACGCTGAGGGGCGCACTCGTTTGTCTAAATAGTATCCGTCCGTAGACAATCGAGGAAGTACACGCCGTTGATTAGTCGAGAGCTCCCACCAGACTAGTGTCAATTTATACCCGAATCCTGTAGAGAGATTATAGGGAGCGTGAAGTTAACAGAAAGGCTGCATAAGTAGGTCGTTGTGCCGGCGACCAAGAGGACAGACTGTAAACAGTTCAGTGTTTCACATAGCTAAACATACCATTTACGTGTGTCAAACGCAACCTAGTCCGCACTAGATGCACCAAGCCTGCTCGAAGGGCATTCTCCAACTTGCGTGAACGTTGCATGCCCTGAAATGCATCGTTCTACCCGCCAAATAGGTGATGGCAAAACCAATCGCATGCTTGCTGCAAGCCAGAGATGCAATAACATGGCATGTCAATAACGCGCATGTTATAGAGTTTGTTCATAGTAGGTTAAATGGCACTGGATCGGCATGCTTTCGTAGCCTTTCCTCTCGAACTATATGTAAGGATATTTAATACGTTGGTTAGACCGCACGGACCGAATTTGGAATACAGCATGCCACTATGGCTGCCCTGGATGAAGAAATACAACGATCTCATCGAGAACCAAGAATACTTGATCCAATTTTCTGTAGATATTGCGTGTCTTTGTCAGTGTCATCTACTGGCCGACTCGGGGCTCAGGCCATAACAGAATTGATTCTACGTTAGAACTAGAGGCTGATACAATTTTGGATGAAGAAATATAATGGTCCCATCAAGCAGACGGAACCTAGGGCAAAGGTCCAGCAGACGGTCTTATGACCCTGCAGATCGCGACATTGTGCTCAAACTCCTAATGAGTGATGCGATATGAACCCACATATCTGCGCGGCTTTGGCAGAGGTTCTAACTGTATAGGGTGATAAAGCAAATTCGTTTGTATAACTTAAATCTAGGTCTTTTATGGTGAAGCATTCTCAGAATGGGTTATTCTGAAAAATTGTGGGACCAGGAAGTTTGGTAGGACCAAAAGACATGAAACTACACTTGGATGATGCAAACTCCATCTGCCATGTCGAACCCCATATGCATAAGCATAGAAAATCGGCATTCATTTTTTCAACACAAATATTTGCGGTGTCCTTAGAATATGAGTGAACACACTTGAGGTCATCGGCATAAATAAAAGTTTGCAAATTTCTGAGTTCAGTCGAAATATCGTTGATGTAAAGCAGGGGGAATATCACACCCAGAATCGTGCCTTGAAGTACGCCACTCATGATCGTCTGAGGTGTCGAGTTGCTATTACCGACCATGACTTTCTGATATTGGTTGGATAGATATGATCTGATGAAGGCGAGTAGAGGCGGCCGGATACCGAGAGCTTCCAATTTTACTAAAGGACGTCTATGGGACACCTTGTCAAAGGCTTTGTTAGGATCAAAGGAGATAAATGCTGTTCATTACGAAGAGAAGTGATTTGATTGAGAAATGCCAAGTGACAAGTTTTGCAAGATCTTTCAGGTAAAATCAATGATGATTAGAGCTGAGACGCTGATTAGCCAGATAGAAGTCAATAATCCCATTGTAAATGATCCTTTCAAGATGTTTTGTTAGAGATGGTGTTTTGTGCACTCCCTGATAGTTATTAACATCGGACCGAGATCCAGACTTGAAGACGGAAATGATAATTGACGTTTTCCATGTCTCAGGAAAGAAATCCTTTGAAAGATAAACCGAGAATAACTGGCTAAGCAATATGGGAAGTTCGGATGCTTGTTTAATAGTCGAATTTGGAATCGTGTCTGTTCCCGAGCAGTGTGAGTTTGTCAAACGAATTATGTATTTCTCAGTTAGGTCTGAGGAGACATCGATTGTACTCAGTGTCCTATCTGAAAGTGAATGAAAGAAAGGGGCTGTGTGGGACTCAGTAGTAATGTGTCTTGCAAAGAAGACACTAAACAACTCCGTCTTGCCAGTGTCATCGATGAGGAAGATTCTGTTATCGTTTATCAGGACTGTAGTTAATGACCACGCTCAGAGGTAGGCCGATGAAGGAAGATGTTAGCGACGGATTTGGCAGGGTTCGGATCGCTGAGGGCAAGTGATTCTCTTTGTCTGCCGCGCGCTATGCGCATCCTTGAGGCCATTTCGAAAACCTCTGTAATTCTAAGATGAAAGAATAAGTAACTAGTGGATAGGTCTCGCAGGTGTCGTCTCAACTTTTAATCTGTTGCGAAGAAAATAGGAACAAGGGAATCCGCAGAATTCGACTTGAGTTATCTACGCGGCATTAACTCTAGGATGCCCTTGGAAACATCGGACATGGCATCGCGAAGAATGGCTGCATCGCTACAAGAATGAAAGCCAAACCCATCCAATGATCTTATATAGTTATTTATCAAGTCGTGGTCTACGCAATCGTAGTTTGTGTAAGTCCGAACGTTGCTGGTCTTTTTTGAAAAGGCAAGCGGTAAGCAACAATGAATTAATACGTGGTCGCTGTCAAAGAGGTCCTTTTTTAAAGTAACAAAAAGAGGAGCAATGACATTGGTAAAGATTAGATCTAAAATGTGTTTCTCTTGTTGGAGTGAGCACCAGTTGGGACCAGTTAGAATAATTGAAAATATCTTGAAAGAGCTTGAATCTAGGTGGACAGTTATTGGAATGCCAGTTTATTTCAGAAAGGTTAAAATCCGCAGTGATTATTTTAATATCGGAAGCAGCTTCAAAATTAATTTAAAGATTTCACAGAGTTGTGAATCATCACTAGCTGAAGATTTTGGGTGGTTGTAGATACAGCCAGCCATTGTCCTTCTTTGCGGCGGGGGAATAACAGATGCAGAGCGGAAGTTTCCCATGAATGAAGAGGCGTTCAAGTAATAGGGGCAGTGCTCAAGTTAAGATCTAATATAAAGAAGATGACCACACCCACGCCTAGTCATGCACTTTTGACGGTAAAACTCGAGGTTATCTATAAGAAGGACAGAGTCAGGAATTAGAGAATGGGTCCAAGATTCTGCTACACATATAATATCAGACGGCATTTCGAGAACAATGGCTCTGATCTGGGCCATCTTGTTTATAACAGACCTAGCATTCAATAATATAATATCCAATGTGTTTCGAAAAGCAAGGCTGTTGTCGACGGTATTTTGAAAAAATAAATCTGGAGGCGGATATGTAAGCTATGAAGTTATAATGCTTGGAGAATAAGCACCAGTTAGTATGTGTTGGCAATTTCCCCTCAATAAGGGCTCCAAGAACAAAAACCTGGAGCCTAACGAGACATGATACATGAGTTGGAGACTACGGTGCTTGTAGATCTCAGTAAGAATCGCGTCTGATTCGGGCGCTTTCCCGGTAGAAAGTTGCTGCATGGCCCTGATGGTTTCGTGGATGGAAGGCGGGACGGAGGTCGGCGTTCGTCCCCACCTAAGGCAGAAGGGCGTTGACGGTGTCGTAGGCGGTAGAGGGTCGTTTGAGGACGCCTCTAAAGTGATCGGTCCATCGCTGTAGAATTTGTATCTTCTCTGTTAGTATGGTACTGCCGTCGGCGCTGGGATAAGCATCAGTACCTATGGCTGGCGGGCGGTAGACAGCCTTGATCGCTGTGAAGAAGTTCATCCAGTAGTTGCGGTCCGAGTACCCTTGGATCTCCTCGGCCTTTCCTGTCGTCCAAGCGTCCTGCATCTCGCTCAGCCGCTGTTGCAGAATGTGGCGTCTACGGTGGAATGTTGCTTTGTTGTCTTCAATAGGGCGGTTGAAGTAGGCATTATGCAGGCCGTTCTTCTCGGCGAACAGGTTGCTGATGACAGCGTCGTTGTCCTCGAACCAGCCCTGGTGTTGGCGACGTGCGTGACGGAGGACAGGCCGCGGCGGTCAACTGGACTGTGTCCCCTGGTTGGAACCACCGGCTGTCCATGCAGGCGTTCTTCCCGATTGTGACGCCGGCGACTGGAAGGTTGGCTAGCCGCTAAGCCAGCTCATTGCTGAAGTGGAAATGGTCAGCAGGCAAAGACAAAAGAGCAATGTTAGGCCTACTTGGGGGTCGCTTACCTCGAGGTCTCCTGAAATGCTGTAGACGCATCCGCATCTCGGAGATGGCGAGGCGATGATCGGCCCACACGACAGCACACGGAATCAATCACCCAGCAAATCCCGCCGACCCCGCCTACGGACGATAACAAAGTCAAGCAGGTGCCAATGTCATGATCGAGGATGCATCCAGTTGGCCTTCTCTCACATCGGGAGGCTGAAGGTGATCGTCGGGATGAGCCGATGTTCTGCCAAGGTTATTAGGAGGAACAGGTCTGTGTCGTTGGAGTCGTTGAGACCATGGGGACCTAGCACTCTTGTCCAGGCAGCATGGTCTGTGCCGACGCGGGCGTTGGAGTCACCAAGGACACTAAACTAGTCCACCTTCGGGCATTCTCCCGGAGGGAGTGCAGGTCCTCGTAGAATTTGTTCCTCTCCTCGTCAGGGCTGGTCATCTGCGAGGTTTAGACACTGAAGATGGTGGCGAATTTGCCTCTCCGAAGAGACAGGCGGAGGCCTATTAGGCGATTGTCGACACCTTGCGGCAGACAGGGCGAGAAGGGAGAAGAGAGAGAGAGAGTTGATGCTCGTTTGGTTGTCTCGACCGTGAGTTTTGCATTTGCTCTCATGGTCAGCCTGCAGGTGACGTAGGTCCCCAGTATTTGTTCAGGGCAACTTTTCTAGCCCAATTCCCCTTGCAGGGGTAGCAGTGCCCTCCCTGGATAGGGCTGTTCAGTTGTCCCAGATGGCTGCCGAACTATACTATGGGCCACGACTTTTGATTATTGGTAGAACGACCCCAATTAGCCTGGGACTACCTACGACATCGCCGTAAGTCTGATGAGAGGGAAGCGGATATGGGGAAGGGTATAGAGATGGGAAGCAGAACTTTCACATTCCTATCTAGGCCAACCGGTTGTCGAAATATATAAGCGTTGAGCAGACAAATACAACAGCTCGGCATTTAGCCTACGGTAAGGACGAGCACGAACAAGTAGACAAAAAGCAAGCAGGCCAGAACAGTAGAAGTCAAAGGCAACAGAGGAAAAACAGTGGTATTTTGCTTTCAAAAAGGACAGACAAAAACATGCAGACACAGAGCAAACAGACAAGAACAGGCAAAACAAAAGGCAGCAGAGCATCTTCGCTTACCTGGGAGCTCACTTACCTTGTGGCCTCCTACGGTGTTCCAGATTAGGCCACATCAAGAAGATGCCAAATGCCGGCCATTGAAGGCGAGATTATCGTGTACGGAGAGGCACCCACAGATGCCGTCATCTGGTTTAGCGCGACGGTCGCGGCGGTTACCGGGATGTGGCAACAGGAGGAACATCGCTTCGGCGAACTACATGAGACGGTTGGGCGCCAGCAAATGGACGTTAGGTGTAGTATTCATCTGCAAGCAAGCGAGCGACCTACGACGAGCGTCACATGGACCCACCGATAGACACCCTTACACTCCTCCCTCAAACATGCGGACTGACTGCATCCCAACCCCAACTGATCCTCCCAGGTATTACTTCAGGCCCGGACAACTCGGATATTGCGCTGCCTGGAGACAGCCATCGTACGGAGGGAGAAACCCGTCCTGTGCAAACGGTTAGACCACGTGGTCAACCACAGTTTGGCCTGATAAGTCCAGGGCCTTTGAGTTGTACACCCCGTCTGGATGCTAACTTCCCCATTTTCTTTCCGAATTTGTGTTTCCAAGTTACCATTTTTACTGATTTGTAGCTCAAGACAGAATGAACAAGTTGTTTATGTGAAGTGAAGGACACTTTTGGAGCGGACAGAGGATGCGGATGATGGGATGGAGTGTCAGTGGAGATGCCGGTGCTCCTTCCATTCGGAGTTATTGACAAGCGTCCCCGCAGCTATCATTATATCAAGTCGTTTTGTTTTCTCGAGCCCAATACCAATGTCCCCACATCTTTCCCCTGCAGTACTCCCACCCATTGGTCTTACAGACGCGACAAAACCCTCCCAACTCCAAATGGGGGCACAGCATATGCAACACTCCCTTCTGTTTTGTGTTGTATTTTCATTCCCCCCGTTTACATGAATACTTCCTTGAAAGGTTTTATTATGCCTCCACTACTTCTTTAGTTTTCAACATGTGTGCTCAGCGTGATGCTTACCAACATCTAGGTTGTCGGCCCCTGTAGATTAATCTGCGTGCAGTAAATGATGGGCTTTCTTGTATTGATTTTCTCTGTGGAAGTTCAACTCTCTGTATCCTTCTCAACCGTTATCCCTGTTACGCAGCGACAGGTTGCAGTTAATAAGCCATCCCGAAATTTGTTGTTTCCAATGAATTATGCTGTCTATGCTGGCTTCAAATTCACAGCAGGGAAATATTGCTCCAAAGACGAAAAGCCTTCGGACTGCCCATTTGTGGAGAATTAGTGACCTAGAGAGCATGCGGATAAAGTCCAAGGAGCTTGCAACCCAATACCTAAACCATAGACACACGAGCACAATTCTGGGTTGTGAATACAAGCAAATGACAAAGTTCAGTATGCTAAAGAAAACAAAGTAAAATGATAATTCCAATGAAAATTTATTAACAGACTACGTTTCATTGCTGGTAATTCTTACTGACCATGGGAAATTCTTACCGTTTGCCGTAAATTCACCGGTAATGGTGATTAACGTTAATCAGGTCAACTGACAGACACATCCCTACTCACATATCTAACCGAATAACGCTGCTGGACTGGAAGCTAAAAACCAAGGAAAATCCAAAGTTTAGCCGGGTTGACTGAGATTTCTATAACAGGGGACCATGTTCTAAGTTACCTACTATCATTTTCTTCGAAGAACCTCAAGTCTTCGTAGTTATTATGTATGCCGTCTTCACATCAGTCACCTAAATTGTAAACGCAGAATCAGTGCCTGTTCTAGTGCTAGAGCGCACGTGTTAGAGGGTAGTAACCAAACCAACTTTTTGGAGAACGAGGACTTAGCATAAGGAAATCCTGTAAGCAATTCCAATTTGAAATTCTTGCCGTTTCAACCGTTTCGGCATAAACTCATGGTTGTGGTTTACTATAAAGGACGTTGCCGTAATTCCATCAATCCTTCTACGAGCCACATTAAAAACATTCGGGCACTTTTTGCCTTTATACGGCAGTCGGTTGCATAAGAATTCACATACTTTGATACTGGTTGCTTGACCTAGTTGCTAAATGGCATCTTTCGATTCGCTAAGTGACTGAAAGTATCACCCAGACATAATTTCGCAAAAATTAAGCTCGAGAAGGATAGTAGAAGCCATCGCAACCCACGTGAAAATGTTTGACCCATTGCGTGGGTATCGGCGGAAATGTTCCGCAAAATGTTCGTATTAATCGCTCCCATCAGATAACAAGCAGAACGTAGGTAGCCAAATTTGGACTACCAGTACAGGGCTTGCCACATGTTATTACTTGTAATCAGGGTCTTTTTTGCGTCCGCCGTCTGTTATTGTTTAACTTCCGTCGGTTGATAGCGGTTTAGTTGTGTTTTGTCATCGTTGAATACTTTCGTCAGTCCTCAAAACTTAAGTTTTGCACCGCTTTACAAATTGATGGCGGTGGTTGGATGTCTTCAGATGATTATTACCACTGTCAGTCTGTTGCCTGAATCTGTCTTTTTCTCTCCAGCTCTGCCGGACCTCCCATCTGGTATCTGACAGGTATCGCGATACCGCGGCTATATGGCCGATCGGATGTAGATGGCTTTTGTATGATACCCTTTGGCTTGTCGAACGCGCCGGCCACATTCCAGTGCCCCGTGGCGGCAGTAACGTGCGATGTAGTCCTTCAGGTCTGACTCATTTACCTCGATGACATTATCGTCCACGGGAAGTCCCTTGATGAGCATAATTCACGTCTTGGAGTGATTCTGTTGAGGTTAATGCGCACAGGCCTTGCAATGGAAACGGGGAAGTACAAGTTTCAAAGAAGAGCGTATGATCGCTGGAGTAACAGGCTTATTTGTATTTGGATTAGGAGTATCTTCGTGGACTTTGAGAGTAAAACAACAACAGCTGCGTAGTCTTGCAACAAGTACGTGGGACTTGCACTTTTTCTCCTTTTCGCGAAGTATAAGTTTCCTCGTAGACAAACTCTAATCTCTGGGCACATCTTGTTGGCATTGGACATACATGAAAACCCAGACAGAATGTCCCTTTACTTGATTTACCGACGCCCAAGGCGTCCCGGCAGTTCTTGACTTCATTGGGTTTTCCTCCTGCTATAAGTTAGTTCGACGGTTTGCTGACATCTACGCACCTTTTCATCGACTGACTGAGAAGTCCAGGCTTTTCTTATGTGCCGAACAGTACGAGTATGTATTCAACGAACTCGATGCGACTTTCACCTCCCGAACTGACGGTTGATTTTTCCCTGAAACCAGTGACAACGTGAGAAACGTTGGAGTCCTTTTTTCAACAGGCTACTAATGGAGAAAAAGGAGATGGTTTTTTGCCTGCCGACTGTTAGGCAGACACAAACAGTGGTATGGTATTATGTTTGGTGAGATTCTGGGATCGGTATATTTTACCCAGCACTTTTACTTCGAAGTTCGTGCAGAACATAATGCCTTGGAGGGGCTGCAAAAGTTCCTTGACCCAGAAGGACAGATGGCTCAGGCGCCACTATTAGAATAAGATTTTACGCTTATTTACTACCTACCTGTGAGATATCGAAATGCCGAGGCCCTCTCTTACGTTCGGTCACCGGTGGTCACAATTTGTCGTTTCACCTGCCGGCGCACAACTGTGGACCAATCCTTAGGCCGACCACCCGGTTATTTTCGATAATTACGTGGGACCTAGAACCTAGCAAATAAATGGAAAAGAATTCAGCCTCCGCGCGTGCGCTTAGGTGTTATTAGACTAGACTACGGATTGATAGTCGCGCTGTTTTTGAGGGCTTGTTAAGCCAGGGACGAAGGTACAGGGTACTGCAAATGGCATATACTACCAGCCCGACACGCGACCCAGCGGAAAACAGAGTTATTTATTCGTGGGCGTTTTTGTTGGCTCACGACTCACTGAGATTTATCCTACTGCAGCATTGCCATTTTTTCCCTTGGACGAAGTCATCTATCCCCTCACCACAGGCGGCGCTACGCCTTACATTTATAAACGTACTCAACCACAGGATTTAAGTTGGTATAATTTGATCAGTACTGCCCACTCATCGCGATAATCTCTTCGTATTCGTGATTAATGGCTACTTCCTGAAGTTGTGCGAGGAAATACCTCTCCATCAACAGGGCACGAAGTCAGTAGCAGCATCCATCATCATCGAGTGGGTCAGCCAGCATGGAGCGCCCACAGTAAGACCGGTTGAGGCACGCCTTTTTAAAACCACCTGGCTAAATTTCGTTCCTTACCCCGTATCCGGAAGATAGGGACTAATCCTCGTCGTTGAGAGGAGAATGGACTTTCCGGACGGACGGACAGAACGTTCGCGAGAACGTGGGCTGCTTTTGCTGAACTTGACGTCTCGTACCTGTCATGGTACTTGTCGGCATACCTTGCCTCCGTTCACGACTCGACAAGATTTTCTCTCGCCTTGTTGCAACCCGACCACGAACTGGCATGTTGACGTATACAAATCTACACGTCGATAATTCCCGCTGAGGGAATTTATGTCGGTGATTACGCCCGACTGCCCAAGGAAGCTCGTTGCCGAAAACATCCCAGTAGCTTAACATTAACAAAAGCCATGCTAAGGCTGACGCCGAACCGGGCCGGGATACCATGTTGGCGATTCCCTGTTTGTGGGGCCGCAATCACCCTTCTGGCTGTTGTCAAGTTCTACCGGTTCTGACGAGGTCGACCGTCCTTCGTCCCTCCGTCCCTCCAATTCGTGCGGCAGTTTTAGTTGCAGTCACGCGTTTTGAGCCTCGGTGGTCATCGAGTTTCGCACCACGCTGCATTTTGCCCGTAATTATTGTGCGTGGTGTCCTGCCCACTCAGCATGTGTAGACCATAATGTGGTATAGGGTTCGCTTGGCAGCCTAAAATAGTTATCAGTCAAGTCTAAACTTTGTGTTTTCATAATATCACTAGATGGTCGGCTTAAGGCCCAGAAAGAAAGTACCTGAGTCTCGTAAAAGATGCACGAAATAAATCAAAGCTATTAATGCAAATAGTCTGCCCGATTTGCTTGGGTTTAAATTTTGGCTTACACAAAGAATAAGCCACGTTTCCTGGGCAGGATCCTACCAAATACTCCGCTAGTCGCCGGGCTTCAGGACTTTCGTTTGACGGCGATGTGGGTTTCTATGTTAATCGCCAGGGCTTGTGCTAAATTGTAATAGCGGCGACCTTGTGTGCCGCTTGTAGGTGTCCCTTATGCATTACCTGCTCACTACATCTGAATTCTATATTTAAATAGTACTTATAGTCTTCTGAAATCCGGTTTGGAATAATGATTGCATATTTACAGTGTGGCTAAATCGACTACAGTCCACTTACTGTCGTATGTCATGCGACTCTTGCACTTACTGCCAGAGATGACGACCTGACTTCGTGCAGTGACCGGTGACTGCTGAGAACTCGCAAACTACAGCCGACGTTAATATTTAGGTGGGGTAAGTAGTAACACAGTGTGCCTTTTGTTGCTCTCTCGACCTATGCACTTGTCACTCGCCGAATTGGTTTCTGTGAAATGTGACGGACAGGGCAAACAGAACTGGAGTAACCATTGCTTTCTTGTTTGTCACGCTCACCCAGTCATGTCCCAGACTAAGACGACCTAGTGCTCAAAGACGTACCCATTGACCATTGAATGGTAGGTCAAAGGCCGTGTAACTGAGTCCTGTGTCATCGCGGCCCTGTGTTGACATCGTCTTTCTGATACCAGTCAGTAGGCTGAGAATAAACGACCTGTCTCTGATTTCGCCAACAGCGTTTCGTCGTCCTCGATTTCCCTATGCTGTATGACCGGCTGTAGAGGATCTATACTTAGGCTTCATGACAAAACAGAGCCGTTTATGTTCTGTCTTGCAATCTAGACGGTTGAGGAACACCACTCTGATGTGGTTTAGATGGTTTGCGATCATTTTCACGCAGAACGCTTAAATCAACTGTATTAGCGCCTTCGCCACATTGAAATCTGTCTTTTACGCTACACCACTATCCTTTTCCCTAATCTTATCATATGACATCTCAGTTACGTAATCATCCAGGCGCAGTCATCGCTTCTAGCGCATTGCCTTAATGGACTTTTTTGCTCCCTACATGATTGGCCGCCCTTTTCTCATCTTTATCATCTCCCCTGCTCTGTTTGTTGAGGCGCCTTTATTGGGTGATTGTTCTTTGCTGTCCATATGTTTGATTTTAGCATTTTATTCGTGTATTTAGGGGACTCTGACAACACAGCTCGCCATATCGTTTCTCTTTATAACGACCATCAAGTCGCCCTTAGTGAAGATTTCCTTGTACATCCGCTTAGTGCCGTATTACCGAGTCGATGTAGCTGTCTCTCCGTTAAGCTCGATTGATACAGCTTATTCACACGTTGTGTTAGAGGTCGCATTGTCCACCTCTGCTTCCTTTCCTCGTTACAGAATTTTTTGAAATTATTTTTTGGAATTTCCACTCTTTTGACTTCTGCTGGCGTCACATAACCATGTTTTTTATCGCGGTCTGTAGAAACTACCAAATACACTGTCGAATTACCATTGCTAACTTGGGTCAACCGTCTTCCATTTTAAGTTTCTTTTGACCCTCGACTTCCCCGTTTTATATCAATAGTATCTAAACTTTGTAGTCCGCGATTATAGGATGTAGGCAGCAACAAACCGGTAGTACGATAAATGGCAAGAATTTAAGAAGTTATGTGGAAATTTTTATGCCATTTTTGTTGCGCTCTGCGCCAGTATCACAGCGACTCTGCTTTCTTTCGTATCCTCTCCTAATGACTGTTTTTTAATGCTGTCCTATATAAGGTTTCCCTATTCTGTGGTCATTGAGACCGGGTTGGTTGCTTATGGTCAGGCATCTGTCTTGGTAGATTTTTTTCTGCAAATAAAATCGCTAACCAGAAGCTACCACAGGAACAAAGCCTCACCATCTGAACCACCCACCACGAGTCATTTTGTTTGTTTAGAGAAAAGATGTATCCAATCCCTCTTGGTATGTTTCTGATATCTCCTCTTAAAAGCACTTAAACATCTTTAGGTAGGTCCTTTTTATACCGACCTCTTACTTTTATGGGGATATCTAGGTAATTATAGTCGTTCCTCAGTCTAGTCAGTGATTTATTTTAAACAATTTGTAGGAATTCGGTCTTTTTATCCTTCGGAAACTCCTAAATCGAAGTGCCTTCCTGCTGTTGGATAGTTTTTCTCTTAAAGATACGCATGTTTCCTACAATTTATACAATCGGATCTCCGACTTTCTTTAGAAAAATGCTGACGCTGTTGTCCCACAGTGTTTTTTACCGAATTCGCCTTTCACATGACTACAAGTTCATCCGTGTGGTATCGATATTTGCAAGTCCCAGTGATCACCCTGTACCCTCTGTGTCCACTTCAAAAAAGTTGCCTACCGTGTCAGTCATTCTCAATAAAACTATGCCTCTTGAAAACGCTCTCATTCTGCGTCGCTGGCAAGAGAAGATGAAGAAGGAGATGGGTGACCAAGGCTTCAACGAGCTGATGTCACGTAAACACCTTTTTTCCGTTTATCTATGTGCGCCACATTTTAGGGGTCAAACGTCTAGGGAAGGATGTCCATCAGGCCATCTCAGATCTTTTGCTGCATAAGATTGACATTCCAGATGTACCTGAGCCCGTCCAGGGCTACATTCGCAGCCTCGAATGCTTGCTGACACGTATTACTTCCACCCACTTGGTTGAAGAGGATTGCTTCCACCCTATACTCGGCTACCGTGGCCGTTTCGATAGCATTAACAGTTTTCAGTAAGTCTGTCGTATTCGTGCATTTCCGAATTTAAGTAACCTAATTGTTTAGTCTTTCCATTTAAACTTGTCCAAAGCACACTATCTGTACTTCGTTGTTTTTTTCGCTAACGGGCATTTCTGCACAGTCATTGTACTTTTGAACTGCTGGTTTTGCCCGGGGGTCGCCACAACCTCACTAGGCGGCTAAGGACATAGCTGACAGGGTTGGTTCTTGTTACTTGAAGACGCGCCCGGTGGAACCGATTAAGAGAATGGAGCGCGGACGCCATGGTCCAAATACTTCCCTATTTATGCATATTCTGAGCGCATGGGGGGTCATTCGTGTTTTATATCGATCTAGAAGGATTGTCTTAACGGGATCATCACATATACTTTCAGTTTTCAGAGGTTCAAGCGACTGGTTGCACTGATCGTTGACTGCAAACTTACTTAGCTTGTTTGGTAGGAAGTTCCACATCGGAGAGACAGAAATAATCCACCAACCAGGTTTCACCATTTGTCATGACCGCACAGACATCTCCGACCGCAAAACCGGAGGCGTTCACATCTGTTTTGAATGAGTTTATTTTCAGTCCCACTTTAACTGGCTTCGCGTCTAACTGTGACAGAGCACATTCCGTTTTCATAAATGGACTCACCAGCACTGCAACGATATCACAGAAGTCAAAATCCGCAGTGCGTGGACCACGACCTATGGTAGCACTGGCGTGCGTTGAAAGACCAGTCTGTCACACACTCCAACAAAACTGATAGGTGAACGGGCCTGACTAACGCCTGTGTCAATATCAAAGAGACTATTCCTCGCCATTTACAAGGATTTGTTCTGTGGCAGTAGGCGGAATCAGTCGAAGTGGCTTCCATAACTTGCCGTCACGCAGTAATATCTGCAAGGCTCATTTATGCAAACTTTTATTTTTCAGAGACGACGAGCTAGTAAGCAGTTGGCTGCCGAGGTCGACTCTCCTGGTTTTTGTTCTTGGATGCACATATTCCGCCCATTCATCACTGAATTATTCAGACAAGCAGGATCAGTAAATCAGTAGAATTCAAAAATACACAAGTACACAACTTAGAAGACTTCTCAGCCGTTCTTTCCAAAAATCGAAGTACAAACCCTCAAATCTCAAGTGATCCACACTTGGGGTTGTCTATGACTGGCTTATGACGGCTAATAAGCCAGAAATGACCATTCCGGTCTCCCTTGTCTTTGTCGGTACCACCTGATTTACCTCAAATATTTGTTTGGAAAGAACGGATCTCGGAATCGCGCCTCTCGATCTGTTCCACAAGACTACAAACCAACTAATCACTAAAATGAGCGGCAGATATACTTAGACCTCATTTAATCAGACTGCTATACTACTGCAAACCTATGTGCCCGCTGACATGTCTTTTACGCTTGCCCTGAGAATTTTCCCGGAACCATTTCTCAGATTGCTTTTGGTGACTGAAACAACCGCCATCGGAACGCAAGCTGCATTTTTCCTTTCGCCTGCTGGTGACCCCAAGGGTTTTCCTTAATTACTGTATGCTTGACAGTAAAAAGGTAGTTTTAGCCAGTTCGGGGGCTGGAGACTCACAGCCAGAAATTGCACGTCTCCAAACAATATTGGATCACTGACCTCCCGATTTTTTGCCGATCAAGCAATGTTCTGGTGTTCTGAGTCTCCTATTTCCTATTTTATTCCATAGAAAAATATATTTTTCAAATTGTGCACTATGACGAATTTGTCAGTTACAGTTCAAAAGTTGCCTGAGGGACTTTAGTACACATACGAAGTCCTTTGTTCTAGGGGATCTGACTCATCGCGACTTTATTCTGCTTTCAGCAAATCATCGGGACGTTCAAATTTCAAATCTACCATCCTAAATGAATGTTTCTGGTAGTCTCGTCTGCACGATGCCGTAATGCATTGCGAGATCTGGGCGTTTTCAGGCAACACTGACCCCAGTGGAGAGGAGAATGTGTAATTGGGCGTTAGTTTTGTACCGCACCCATTACCGTAACTTCCATAAACCTGTTAGCTCATAGAGCGCAAGCAGTCGTGATCAGGTTGTCTGAACTCTCGGCGGTTGTTGTAGGTACGTGTGTCCTCAATCGCCTGACTTTGACAAGCCACAATGCACGCAGAAGGAAGAGTGAGGTTGATCCAGTGAGTAGTTCCTTCCTGTGAAAAATTAAATTCACCTCGAACCTATCACGACATTATGTCAGTCGTGGTTTGAAAGGTTGCCAACTGACAGAACAACTCGGTCTTACTCAGAACAGGGTCGGGCCGCAATGGCTTCTTAATGTGATCTGTGTGGCAGCTCCCACTTGCGTGAGATCCGAGACCCCCAGATGAAGCCTGGCATGTCTGGAGTTAGGGACTGTGTCGTGTTTAAGATCTCACTGGAGACCAACAATGTCATTAGTCGGCTCGCTTTTTCCGTATTCTGCGCCTAACCGTGGTGTCTAAAAAGAAGGCGAATGTGGGACCAATGCATGGGTCATTTTTCCACTTTTTCCTGCTTTACCCAGGTTACATCCTCGCTCGGAAAGTTTGCGTCTTTCGCCGTCCCCAGTAAGGTAAGGCCATGCATACCCGATGCGTTTGCACTCCAACTGTCAGATTTAAGAGGCCAGACGCCTCGATGTGCTCACTTCACCGCAAACTTTGCCTTTTGATCGTCGATGCAACATCTTAACAGCATATTTCTCGCGCGTTTGTCAATCAGTGGTTTTGCCTATTTGCTCATAGATGGTTGCTAATCCCTATTTCATATTTTACCGCATTCTACGCGAACGTAGAGTTTCAAATGTCCGAGATGGATAGGGACTTTTTCATAGAATCCAACCTTCTGCGCATCGAGTATCGTGAGTAATTTTTAAATTGATTTAACTGGGTCTGCCTCTGCTAGGTTTAAAATGGCAAGCATGCGGTTCACGTAAATATGGTTTGTAAAAAACCGTCTTAAGTCATTGTTACAATGTCCTCATACATCCTCTTGAAGCGCCGACTTTCAGGGTTTGAACCTGATTTCCACACGGTTCGGGCTAGTAGACACGAATCTCTTCTGGCACCTAGTGACTAAGTCCTGCAAATTGGCTTCAGTGCTATGCGACCAGATATCATCCTTACTCCAAAATATTCATATACGCGCCATACTGTCAGTACTTTCGCAACGGTTTAACCCCTCCTATTATTCCAGCCTCCAAAAAATACTTTATCCTTAAAGTTCTCCAGACACCTGCATTCTTCTTCGTCTTTTTCTGTCTTCTCTCGATCCATCTCCTTGCTTACCCAATCGCGCCTAGTTGTCCCCCCCTTGTCTCAATTTTCTTAATGTGTCGAGTAACTTCCTAGCCTAACAAATCCAGTTTATCGAAGGTGTCACGCATCCATGCCCCTACGTGTCCCGATACCGCCGTAGCTGCCATCCGAAGAAGTAGCTAGACAGTTAAAAGTAACCTTTAAGATCCTTCTTTGCCATGCCACTGTGAGACTCCACGACCTTTATTAGGGGTTAAAGAGCCATTCCGGTTGTTCTTGGTGGGATTCGCAACAATCGCAGTTAGACTGTCCTAGTTATGGACGAACCTGCTTGTATACGGCGTCTCCCTTGGGTGTTCCATGCCAGTCGTGTTTATAATAATCTAACCACGCAAGGCCGTATCTCTCACGCTAATTTCCGTAAGACGACTAGGGAGGCCATCGTAGGATGTACGAGTCTTCTCTTCCTCTCGGTGAGGCAGGCTCAACTTGTTTGATGATCCTGAGCTGGAGACCCAGTGTCATCGTTTTAGTTGACAGAGGTGGTCTGAGCATTCTGCGCACTTAACCCTGACTCACTTGCCATCCCCCCTTTTTTATCTTCCTTCGCCAGAGTCAATCAAGGACCCTTTGTCCTAACAGAGTGGAAGACTGTCCACGAGAGCAAGCGTGTCACCAGTCTGGATAAGGCATATGACGCTCCTCTGCAAGTTGCCGCGTACATTGGTGCATACAATATCACGCGGCCACCCCAACTACCAGAGGTTTGTGTCCTTCTGTTCTGACATGGAAATTGTCTCATTTGATCTTTACACGCGTAAACGCCTGCAGAGTTCGGCCGGGTGCGTTGATCAGCAGGCTACTGTGTCTGGAAACAAACTTGACTTTCACCAAGACCTGCGCGTGCCATCTGTGTCAGGCCCTGTTTGCCCAAGCCGGTGACTTATATGTACTTGGTACAACTGTGATGACGCCTGCTCTAGCCGGCCTCGGTGGTGTCAAGAACGGTATTTCTGCACGCGTGACGATCTGCGACGGCGGACCTGGAGAGCTTGGTCCACTCTTTCCTGCGACGACGAAGGCCAAATACAAAGGGTCCAAGAACAACTTTCACGTCTTGGCGAGCTGTGTCCAGCCAGATTTTGAGTTATCCTCCCCTTCGACGTCTCCAGCGGGGCAACGGCGCCAGATCTAGGGCAGCAATACTGAGTTCATAAGGCGGACGACAAAGAACGTGTCAAAATTACCCGTGTCGTCTTTCTTGAATAGCCTCAGGGATTCTCGCTATACTATCACAGCAAGTGCTGACTGTCTTACCTGAGACAAAATCGGAGATGTTGCTCACAGGATCGGCGGCAGGATACGAACTTGTCGAACACCAGATCGAATATCGAACAGTTGTGTGGGATTGGTTACAGACCAGAATTTGCGCAGTAGTAGAGCGGCAGCGGACCCTAATCATGACGATCTCTGCCGGCACACCATCTACTTCAATTATCCGCAGCAGAGACTAACGATGGACGAAATCTAACGCTACGACGAAGTCCACAAACCAGACGGATATCGGTTGTTTGTAACCATGGCGGACTTTAAAAATGCGCCACAGTATGTCTGGTTTGCGCACCCACGCTCATCTCGGGAGCCGACTGGGTTGGGTCCCGTCTTCGAGTCACGCACGCTCTGATATCGCCCGAGGACAACAGCGAAAGCCTTCGCGGCAACGTCGATGAGGTTTACATCTTATTTCACCTCTTGAAGACAGGCACAAGGATAGCCGAACTCGTCGTCAGGAACGACCTCATCTTTTCATGCTTGCTAATTTACCTCATGGAGCCAAGACGCTAGTGTCGACACAAGACTTTAGATCCCAATAGGAATATCTTCATTCCCAGACTTGTTGTGCAGCCCCCGTATTGCATTGGCGATTAACGTCTGAGAGGGAGGGGGTCACATGATACTGCATAACCTGAAGAGGAATAAAACGCTGCTGCGTGGTAGAACGAGTGTGTGATTGGTTAGTCGTCCAAGTTGAGGAGGTACTCGGAGTGCTCACACCAGCGGTCGGCCTTGGCCAAATTGTTCACCATAAAACCACCATCCACATCGCGTGACAATTTGAATGGAGACTAGAGGTGAACTTCCAGGTGTCTGCGAACAAGAACATGGTCCGACCCATGGACGTTACTAGTTCCGGCACCACACATCAATCTGCTACCGTAAACCCAACTGCGAAACCTTGAACCTACTAGAATGTGTTCGGTCTGGTTGACTGTATAGCCGTCTTTCAAGTCCCAAGCCAGATGTCTCTGACGGTACTGAAAGCACGTGTCAATGACAAATAGTCGGTTGCGATCGACAAAGATTGGCATTCTCTCATTTGTGTTGCATCGATTGCCAACCCTGCTATTCTAACCCATGAACGACCATCAGACACAGCGATAGAGTATTTCAGCTAATTCTTACAGCCGCGAGTAGAAGGCTTCTTCATCGTGATAGTCGGCATCTGAGGTTGGCGCGTGCACAGAGACTTTTGGAAAGTTTCCACTCAGCCACACGTAGACCAGCCGGTAATTGACCAGTTCCCACGTAAGTACTGTATGTGTCCTTTGCTACAATGAGGGTTCGCTAGAATGGTCGCGTGGGCCACTGGGATAGAGTGAAGTGGGAGTTGACCCCGACATGTCACAATCGCTGGACCTCAATCTCACCGACAGTGTCACCGACGTCTTGCCCACTAACCCAAGGACCGCCCTACTCGGAAGCGCCGATTAGCTAGCTGGATTAACGGACAGACCCTCTTTTCCCACACTTACAGACAATGCAGCGGCATTTCTCGGCGCAAGGACGCCTACTCAAGGCTAGATCCCGGTTAGACCGAATATCGAAAACTGATTAAGTCACTTTTTCGCGATCCCTACCACTTGTAGTCTGTTCTTCCTCTGTAACTTCATGTTTGCTTGCTCACATTGCTTCTCCCTCTTGTTCTATATATCCTGTAAGCCGATGGGCAGCCCATAGTCGAAAATAATTACCGTTATTATTAGATGCTTATGGAGTTCCTCCTATCCGATTCACTCACAAAGGGCCACTCCTCTGCGTTCGTTAAATCGATGCCATCTGTCTTTTAAGGTTCGACAGGGCCTCATTGCGTATGCCTATGCCGACGGTTACCCGACTGACATCCTTATCATGGGCGAGGAAGAACTGGAACACTACTGGACAATCTGGTGCAATCGCGTCTGCGCATTCTACGAACAAAACCGGTCAGTGAGTAATTGAGGAACGGAAGAACAGACTCACCTTTATTGATTGTACAAATTTAAAATTGGTGACTTTCAACTTTTCTCTAATCAGGAACTTCTCATCTCAGATCAGATTATGTATCTTACTACTTTCATAAACTTCCTACTTCTGCTAAGAAATCTTGAGCTCGGTGTGCTAACGTACTTCCTTTTTCGACAGTCTTACTTTTTGACGAAAAGGCTACTCGACCTCCCGAACTTGCATCTTGCAACGCTTTGATGAGTTCATAAGTCTATTCCCTGTAATTGTCTGGCCCCTTGATTCATCCATAGTTTTCGACCCAATTGTGATTCTCAAAAGTCGCACTGCCTTCAGCATAATTAACGTCGCTCCACTCCTCGCAGGAAGCTGTGTGTGACGCAAACGGGGGAAGAACGAAACCGTATTGTGATTGGAAAGCAAACTGTAACTTTTGTCCTTATGTGGACTGGGAGGTAAATTATGATTTATAAGCAGCAAACCGAATAACTGTTACCATGCTGGTTCAGCGCCCTTATGGCCTTACAAGAATGCAATCTGAAGAGGATATCTTATGTGGCTGTAGTGTAAGACCTCGTCCATCCTATCCGCATAAAGTGGCCAGTGCATTTGAATAGGATAGTTGAGTATTTCGAGGAGTTGTACACCAGACAGACAACAAAATGAACAGTCCGGCATTCCAATCGGAGCAAGCCTACAGACTTATAAAAGTTCATCACGGTCGAATTCAGTACAGTAAAACGAGGAGATGCAGGCACTCGAACCGACTAACATGCGAAGTATTTTGGGCATGTTGACCTGAGCCTAGAGAGCTGGATGGGAAAGTTGGACTTCCGACACCCGCGCGACACACCCGGGCGCCCGATGATAGAAACTACTTATCCAAATGGCCAAGCGCGAGACAGAAAACAGATAAGTGTCTTCTTTATAAATCTTGAAAGATGGATGCGCCACAAAATGGGAATTTATGCAAAAAATACTCCACATAGACAAAAAGTTTTGCGCACACAGACACAGACATCGATGCAGCCGGGCCATTTTTGGTTTAGGATGAAAATAAGTTGCTTAGTCGTCGCAAACACTTGTACCATGCCGTTGAGCATTCGGTTTCCAATATTTGGACACCCGCGAAGTCACTGATCACAGCGCCGCCGCAACATCGATGCCCATTTCTAAGTCCTCCCTACAGACGAAGGAATCACAAGCAATAGACAACACCAAAAAGTCACATGAAACAACATAAAGTTTGGTGGGGCGGACGACCGGGCATCTAGCGTGGTCTGACGAAAATTAGGGAGAGTGGGAGGGAGGGTAAGGGAAAAAAATTAGAATAACAGTCATGTGAGAGGTATTATTACCACTTAAGAGTGCTAAAGGAAGCGAAGAGTTGCATTAAAGATTGTAGTTGCGAAGAAGACACGATCGCCTTACTAGCCTAACGTCCCGGATCCTCATTCGAACCCACCATCGGAGACAGTCAGATAGGGGTGGTAGATTGCCCAGGTGTTGCAGTATTTATGGGATATAGTTGGTAGACCGTCACATGCCTATCACAGTTGGCAGCACCCGAGCGCATCGTGGTTCGACTGGCCGGGTGTTACAGTAAGGAGGGGATGACGCCAGCTCCCAAGTTTCGGATCAATCGAACGGACCCAACCACACATTCACGTTTGACGAAGCCGAAATTCTCGCTAAGAGGTGACAACCGTGTGGGCCGCGAACTGCTCGAGTCATGGTTTTCCGGTCCTCAATCAATTAACAAGCGCAACGAACTCTACCTATTCGGTGCTTACACTTCGCCAGAGTGAAGCAGTTATCCACGCCGAGAGCGTACAGGTGACCACCATTCCTGGTGTCAATTTTGGTGAGCCAAATTGCCCGGGAGTCTTCACGGATGATGGAATATGGTAGTCAACAACTCGGCTGCGTGCGATGAGCGTGGGGGAGCCGATAATTTTGACCGGCACGCAGACGCACAGCAGCTGCATACGGCAACATCTGGCCAGTCGAAACGTAATGCACTGCGATGGGCATGTAGCGGCCTAGCAACTACATCCTATAAATACTGCAACACTGGAGCGATCCACTAACCTTATCTGACTCTCTATCTGATGATGGGTTCGGGCGAGAATCCGAAAATTCAAGTTAAAAAGCACCTTTTCCAGTGATCGTGTCTCCTCCGCATGTAAAGATACAAAGGTATTAAAATCGGGTTGTTGACCACATGATTGTCTATTGGCCTGTCAACTCGAACGTAGAACCATAACGGCCGTCTCAAATTAGCCTTTACCAGGGCTGAAAAAGTAAAGGCTCAACGGCCTGAACCACGGCACCCTCCACATGATCTTACTGCGTACTGAGTCGCAATGCCATCAGAAAGATGTCTATTGGGGGAAAGGTGTTTATGTACTTTACAATTATGGTGAAAAGATGCCCGCTCGTAGTTTTGCATGGTTCGAACAAGAAACTCGTCATAAACATGCGGTAAGCGCGAGCCGGGTTGCGTGCTAAAAATACGAACTCCGCGTTTCGAGACAAATGTTAGACTCCAGTGTAAATGAAACCACAGGGCGCCTCATCTAAGAATATGTATTCGCCCGTTTCTCCTCCAAATAATAATGAAGAAATAAAGCAGAGGATCGGTCGACCAGCATTTATGTCGAAGATATGAGTATTTTGCTTAAAGTCTTTTGGGATATCAAGAAACATCAGCCGTAGGCTTCGGTTTCGGCATTCGTCAAGAATTTGCTAAGCCTGTTCTGTCGCTCATGGAATAAAGACATCGGAATTATTAAAAATTCCAGAAAAAACTGGTAGTCGCTTAATTAAAAACAAAATAGCCGTGTGGTTTTACTTGTCGAACTTGGCCCTAACTCAAGCTTTGAAAGCCAAGACCTGTGCTACACGGTGTTACCAGCCTTAGGGCAATTAGTCGAGACAATGCATCGGTAAATTGCATAAGTATAGATGTATGTCTGATTTGGTTGCTGTGTGACTATGCATCTGCATGTAGAATAAAATGTAGGAGGGGAGAGAAACGAACCTTTCCCGTGTTTTAGCCGACAACTTTTGTTGTAAGGACAAGACCGCGTTGGCAGTTTCCAGAAGACTGGAAAGGTTGTTTCGCGTTTGGGGAATCGTAGAGAGGGCCCTAAAATGGTGAAACAAGAGTTGGGGGAGAAACAAAAGGAAACCATCTCATTGATGTAAATCTTGAATAAATATGGCCAGCAACAAATTTCAGGGCGAAAGTGAAGTAGAAAGTCGCCTTCGCGATTAACCGCACCATCAGACATACTAAGTCAAACACACGGTACACAATGACGGCCGTTGCGTTTGAGGGAAGGTGATACGGAAACATGCGTAAAAACATAGTCTGAAAAGTACCATTATAAACAATCAAGGATGTGGGTTGAAGGGAAAATCAAACTTAAAAATGAGATTCCTGATATATCGGTTTCCATGTAGATCAATAGCGGTCGTAAACCCAGCAGAGAATTCGGTGTAATTAATTTGGACAACAACAACAATCAAAATGAGGATGGAAAAGAACCAAAACCCACTTGGTAATGTGACCTAGGTCATAATTGACGCCCCGCAGCTTCGATTCGGTCACAATTATTCGCAACTAAATGAAGAGTAAGGTAAACTCGGGTACTTGCACGCTCATCAGCCAGCTGCGGAGCCGTCTTTCGAATATGCTCCTGAATTCGATAAAATGCGACGGAGGGCTCGTTAGCTAAACTTATCAGAGTGCCGCAACTGGTGTTATAAACTACACAGAAAAGGTCAGAAATTATAGGGACACACTTTTCGAACACAGCTTTGGCCTGACATGTTGCTGTTGTCTAGTTGGCGATTGGGACATAGCTGGAAAACAAAGAGTTTGTAGGAAGCGATCGTTTGATTAATGAGTTTAATTCTGCTGGTGGTCTGTTCTGCTTTGTTGTTCAGCTGGAGTAGGTGGACAGATACAATATAAAAACATTGGATTTTCGAAGGCTCGCTGAGGAGATGATGGAGCGAAGGCAGTCTATGAAAGACTGGGTTTGAAAAGCGCGCACAGTAGTGTTGTCGATTATAACTAGTGCGGAAAGAACTCGTGCTCTTGCGATAGTTCTTTACCTCTGGCTAGACCATCTTTTAACCTTATAGTCACAAGAAGGGCTGGGGTTTATGATCCTATCATCTTCTTGCAAGCCTTCCTGCGGCATAGAAAAATGCTCACCCTCAAGGCCAATTAGTTGGGTGTCTAACAAAGGACAAGGGAGGCCTAGCGTGTCACAACACGTTATGAAAAGGGCGAAAGAGAAGTCGGGTTTTGCGTAAACAGGTGGTTTTGCAAATCAAAAGTAACCTCAATTTGTTTGAGAGTCTACGCACAATAGACCTGCTGGCAACTGACTTAAAATCCGGTAAGACGACGGACTGGAGCCAGAGGTTAGTTCACTGAAGTCAATAAACTGCTCATGGGCCCTATACACAGAATAAGATGGGTAATATTGACGGATTTTTCACGACGCATTTTCGGAGACCGTTTTTGGCTTGCTTAGATGGTCGCAATAAGGACGACTTCGCCAAGAGTGTGTTTTATGGTCCCATTTGATGATGGGACGAATGTAAACATCAACCTAACCGAAAAGAAACCCTGAGGAAGACTGTGGGTTCATAGGTTAATGACGTTATCCAAGGTATGCCATGACTTACTTACGTAACATACTGCAAAATAGAGGCGGCCAGGTGGACTTGTGCGAACTTAAGTTCGCCATATGGAACACGCAGGTGCTATACTGAACAATATTGACGGTTAGATGGGCGGTTGGTGTTAGACAAAAGCAGCTTTCGTTTGATACAAATCTTAAACTTATCATACGCGTCACCGATCCTATCAGATAACGTGGCATCAGAGGCCAAATAGATACAGAGAATTATTACACTTTTTTACAATAAGCATTCGTACCCGAAAACCTCAGCTTAAATTACATTTCGGGGACTCTGGAAGTTCCATACAAGGGGGTGGGGAGTATCTGCAACACAATTTTGCACTGACAGGAAGAGCGAAAAGAAAATGAATGTTTAATATTTGTAAATGACCGCATCCTAACACTAACTCGACATGTGGCTTGTGGCAATGGACTATAACCTGCGCAGCAGTAACGTGACGTCAGCGAACGCGTAATTCAGTACCTCAGTCGCGCATTTACTAAAGCTGAGTGACTTTAATGTATTACTCAATCAAGGTGTTTGCCCTGACGCATTTTATTGGGAAGTGCCGCCCCTATCTCCTGTACCAAACGTTCATAGTGCATACCAAACATAGCTCATAGTCTGTTTCGACTTCACCAAGGTTTTTAAGCGTGCGGACTTCGCTCTTCTTCTCTTAGAACCTTTCTCTTTCGGAGTAGGTGGTGAACTTTTGAAATTGAGATCCTCTTTCCTGGGTGGTTGCCCACAACGGGTTAAGATTTCCAATGCTATCTCCAACCCCACACGTGTGAGGAGTGGAGTCATTCAGGGTAGTGTAGTCGGCCCGCTTTTATTTTGCCTTTTTGTTAATGATGTACCGGATTTATTTCCAAATGGTAAGCCTTTCATGCATGCCGATGATCTGAAAGTTGCATATCGATATAAGCCGGCAGATCGTGACATCGTGCTTGAGCTCCTAAAGATCAACCTACAGGCCTTTGCCCGGTGGTGCCGCATGTGGCGCCTTACTCTCTCTCTCTCTTGCTTAGTCATGGTGGTTGGCGATGACCACTAACCCCAACTACGTATTGACGGTCACGACATAAATGCGCCTGAAGTTTTTAAGGATCTGGGTGTGTCATACTCCAAAAGTCTTAATCTATCGGGGCACTGTGCCCTAATAGTCTCCGAATCACGCAGAACGACCGAGTTTATCCTCTGAAATTGCAAAACTAGCCATGTTAGAATGCGCCTTTACAAAATGTACATCAGACATGGCCTGAAACACTGCTCCTTTTTACTTAGCATTATGCGTGCTGCTGAGCGAAAGAAAGTAGAATCCGCCAAACATTTTTTTACAAATGGCGATTTGACTTTGGGCTGCCAATGCTTGGTCTACCTGGAACGCTGCGATCTAGCAGGCCTTGATCTTTTATGGTTTCGTATATTACAAAAGAGATTATTTTGCTGTTCAAGCTCTAAAACAATCGTACTCTTAACCCGCTTTCTACATTAAAATCACTCGATCATCCCGACATAATATTCACCTTGAGGTTATTTCTTTCTTCCTTAGGTACGTTCCGTCAAACATCTTCGTTTCTTTTTTGTGAATCCAATTGCAATTTGGAACAAATCGCACAGGAGTGCAAACGTCCTGCAAAATTATTCTTTGTTTAAGGGAATTATTACTTGATTTTTGCAGGCAGAACATCTCCCACGTATTTTGGATGCCGATCCCACCGACTTAATCTCCCGTAGCGCTGGAGTATGTGGTCTCTTATCCCCTGGCTCGTCTCTCCACGGGCAGTTTTTTGGCCTCCGTGAAAATGGTTTTTCAGTGTCTTTGTTTGGTCCAGGACCATTTTCGTGTGAAGGAAGTGAGACTGGGAATATCTAAAGCAGTGCTACCCACCCCTTCCTCAATTGATGTCATTTCGCGGGCAGCATTTTTTACTCCTGAACCATCCAAACTACAAAAACTCCATCCTCTGTACTTATTAATAAGGAGTTTTTTTCCCCGTAAGCCCGATCCGTGCTTTTTTATTCTTTGTCAGTGCTGCAAACTGGAATTTAATACAGTCATTATTTATTTATTATTATTACGAACAACCGATATGTAAGGGGTCGGCGACTTGAGTCAACACCCATCATAAGTGATCAGGAGCGCTAATCCTAATGGCAGCCTCTGGGGCATATGTGTTGAGCGGCGGTTGCGTCAGTGCCCGGTGAAGGAAAGTGTCCGCATTCTGGTGTTTCTTGTCGGAAAGGTGGACGACAGTGTATGAATTATCTAAAAGGTCTGCCTGCCAGCGAGCGAGTAGACCTGTCGGATCCTTAAAATTATCTAACCACTGCAATGCATGGCGATCGGTGCGTAATATGAAGCGTCTGTCAGCAATGCAATGGCAAATCTTCTTGACAGAAGTTACGACGGCAAGAAGCCCCTTACGAGCTGTGGAGTAGCCACAGTCAGGTTTTGTGACTACCTGGCTGGCAAAAACTGACGGATTTTTCAGCTCATCAGCTTGTTCTTGAGAAAGGACTGCTCCGATGTCTACATCAGAAGTGTCAGTGTCCAAGATGAAGGGCGGCTATGTGCACAGAATAACTGATCAAGCGGTGATAATAGGAGGCCCGACCTAGGAAATCGTGGAGCTCGGAAACAGATGTAGGTTTCGGTCAGCCTCAAATCTGCCCAGTCTTCATGCAATCCGTCTTAAAGCCACCAGATGAGACAATTTGGCTTAAAAATGGGACAGACGTCTTAAGGAATCTACTGATCGACTGTACCGTAGCGATGGCGTTTGTGGTCTCTGAACACTATGGCCGGTCTCACCAGCTGTTCCTCAACGCCTCTTCTTTGACTATCCCCAACTTTATGAAAGGAATTTGACGTCCGATAATCTCCGATACCGTGCAACCTCCCCCCTTCTTGACGGTCGATATTCTACCACCGCCGACAGTTTTTTTCTCCTGAGTCCTCCAAACCACAAAAACCACCATCAACTATATTTTTATGCCTTAAGCTCAGGAGTTTTTTTTCACTGCTGGTCGGATTTGTGTTTAATCACTTCCCTTGACAATGCCTGTAAACTGGCATTAAATTAAAATTTATTTAGCTGGGTTCAGTTTAAGGCCTACGGCTCGGAGACGTGTGAAAATGGTTTGAGGATTAAGGAGGTGTAAATCGACCAAAAACCCATGAACGATAGCATCGTCCAGGTAGACCAGACAAGCGGTAGGACACAAGTCCCGTAAAACTGAGGCCATCAGCCGTTGAAAGGTCTCAGGCGAGTTCGCCAAACCAAAGGGCATGGTTTTAAACTCGTATAGGCCGGAGGGAATGAAAAATGCAGCCTTAAACCTGTCCTCGGAAGCCATTTCTACCTGCCAGTAACCGGACTGTACATCAAGCATGTAAAAACAGACAGCACCCGCTGGTGTCTCTAGGGTAGTGTTTATGCAAAGTAATGGGAATGAATCTTTGACTGTCACAGAATTTAACTTCCGGTAATCTTTACTTTTAATGAAAACACTCGGCGAGTCCCAAGGTGAATAAGATAAACGAATGAAGTCTTTGTCCAGAATGTCCTTTATGGACTTCTCTTACTGCTTCTGGAAGTGGACGGACGCCCTCCGAGGTGGTTGACGAATTGTCTGAGACGGACCTTTGTCAATAATATGCTGAAGCATGTTGGTTCTGCCTAAAGGTTCACCCTCCTATGAGAAAATGTGCGGAGGCGGCAGGTTACCTTGCATTTATCGACCTGTTCACCATTCTTGAACTTACTGTTTGTTTATCTGAATGGAAGAAACTCGGGCTCAACGCGACGCGTGTGGCGTGTGCTAGACTATCAGGTCGTTTGACATGTAACTATTAGTTAGATTAACTATGCGAATATCGGCCATCAAACAGTCATCACACCAAGTGCAACAATCCCTGATGAAGGGGGAGAGTTGTGAGTAATCATAGGTATGCGGCAACATGGCGACTGCATCCTATAAATACAGCAGCCCCATGTAAATGAACCACCCACGTCTACATTTGTCTCTGACGATGAGTTCGGGCAGGAATCCGAAACGTCAGGCGAATAAAGCTCTTGACCCAGCGGTCGTGTCTCCTTATACCGTAAGCTTTAGCAAAATATCCTACATTCACTAAGCTCCACTTTTCTTCCTCCT